GCGTTCGATCCAAAGTGACATTTTCCACCCAAGAGTCAAGCCCTGGGGTGAGGTGAGGGGGAAATGGACCTCTTGAATCAGCATCTCACAGCAAACACCATCAGTTTACTGCACAGTTTGGGATTTCCCCCCCGGAATATTTCTTTTTGCACCCATTCTATGTCAAATGGAATTGAGGGGAGGATATTCATCTGGGTCTAGCTTTGCAGTAACCTGGATGTAGTCCTGGGCTTCTTCAGATCCTTTTTCAGAAAGGTCACGAGGAGTTGCAAGCCTTTTCAGCTGGTGTTAAAAATAGAGTTGAGTGACTCAGCCGTTCAGCGACATCACTTTCTCTGCTTGATGAAATAGCAGCGGATTATTTATTTCTTTAAGAAAAGAAAAAAACACGAACTCCCCAGTGGGTACCATTATTGCTTTGCAAGTAATCTTCTTCGTTGCTTCCTGGCTGCTGAAGTAACACTATTAATTCTATTTTTAAAAATATATATATTTAAATGGCTCTTCTACAGCTTGCTGTTTGTAGTAATTTTTAAAAGAATGTTGTATTGCAAATGGCAGCACGAATGCTGCTTTGAAAATCTCCAGCTTTGAAGGCAATGTTGCAAAAGCAAAAGCTCTACTTCCTTTTATTTTGCATTTTAATTAAATGTGCCATCCATGCAATTAGCATTTGTTTGCACAGGTGATGGACCTCTGGATTGCCTGTGGGCTCCTTGACTTGTGTGTGTGTGTGGGGGGGGGAATAGCTGGGCTGTGGCCATTGACCAAGGGCTCCCAGTTTGCTACTGCAGACATATGAATCATAGACCCCCAGGGTCCTCTAGTCCATGGATAGGCAAACTAAGGCCCGGGGGCCAGATCCAACCCAATCCAGCCCATAGATGGTCCGGGAATCAGCCTGTTTTTACATGAGTAGAATGTGCCCTTTTATTTAAAATGCAACTCTGGGTTATTTGTGGGGCATAGGAATTCGTTCATTTCCCCTCCCCCCAATATAGTCAGGCCCTCCACAGGGTCTGAGGGACAGTGGACTGGCCCCCTGCTGAAAAAGTTTGCTGACCCCTGCAATGCAGGAATCTCAACATGCAGTCCCCCATACAATCTGAAACCATAGCAGACCCTGCTTAGCTTGGCAAATGTGCTAGCAGTTTTATTGCTCCACCGCCAGGAGGTGGTGCCTTATACCCAATCATATTGTTTGCCCTCCTATAGCAGGGGTCTCCAACATGGCACCCATAGGCTCACATGCACTCTCGGGGACGTCCCCTGGTTCTGATAGGATGTTCTTTTCTGCCACTCTCGCTGCTGCAATTAGGCTTCATGGCATTCTGTTGTAGCCAGTAGAATACGTATATTGTAGTGTGTGCTTGATTGCAGTCCATGTGTGCGGTGCCAACAACAATTGCTCAGGTTTGCCGGGGGGGCTCATTGGCCCAGGAAGTTTGGCAAGCTCTGGTCTACACCAGTTTTGTCTATTCTAGCTAGCAGCGGCGATCTAGGTTCATAGGCAGAGGAACTGCCCATGGTCTGAGCTTTCTAGCTTTAGAAGCGATGGGTGGAAGTTGGAAGGTTCTCCGTTGCGAAGAAGAAGAAAAAGAATAAGAAATTTATTTATACCCCGTCCATCTGGATGGGTTTCCCCAGCCACTCTGTACAGCTTCCAACAGAATATTAAAACACAATAAAACATCAAACGTTAAGAACTTCCCTAAACAGGGCTGCCTTCAGATGTCTTCTAAAAGTCAGACAGTTGTTTATTTCTTTGACATCTGATGGGAGGGCGTTCCACCGGGCGGGCACCACTACTGAAAAGGCCCTCTGCCTGGTTCCCTGTAACCTTGCTTCTAGCAGTGAGGGAACTGCCAGAATGCCCTCGGAGCTGGACCTCAGTGAACGATGGGGGTGGAGACGCTCCTTCAGGTATATTGGCCTGAGGCTGTTTAGGGCTTTAAAGGTCAGCACCAACACTTTGAACTGTGCTCAGAAACGTACTGGGAGCCAATGTAGGTCCCACAACTGAGCCCTTTGCAAACATCCTTTGTCCTAGGTAATAAGAACGTTGTGGTTGATGGAGCAGAATGGTCAGACTGGACTGTTCCTACTGTTCTGAAGGCGATCACTCACACCATTGCAGATGAGCTTTTTGGAAGACCAGTGTCCAGCTGACACCTGCACAATGGGGCACATTCTGCCATGCTGTCTGGCAAAGCGGGTTCTCCTTCATGGGGAGCATGTGTTGCGGTGGGAGCAACCATGACATTCCCTGTTGCTGGGCGGGTTAATTTGGATGGCCACGGATTTGATTGGGCACCTCCAATGTTGCTGGGGGAAATTGATTGTTGCAATTTTATTTGATTGATGGGGGTGCTATATAGGTCCCTGTGTGCAGCACTGAGCTTCTTCTTTTCGCTGTGTGCATCGGATCACCCGCCTACCCTCCCTTTATTTAGGGTTTGTTCGCACTGACCTTGCTATGCCTGTCATGGGGTCGTTTGCTTTGGAGCAGGGGCCTGGTAGGAATTTTACCATTTGGCTGATTGGCTGGTGCCATTTGGGTTTTGCCTACTGCGTAGCAAATCGTCACAACTTGTAAGTTGCAGTTAGACATTGGTTATTTCTTTGGTTGGTGGAGGGGATGAGGTTGGCTGTGCCTGCCCCTTCAATGCTGCTGCTGCAAGGGTATTCCGTTAAAGGAATGCAGGGGCTCGCCATGCTTTTGTCTGAATCCCTGGCAAAGGGCTAGGGCCACGCAAGAGCCCCAGGGAGCATTTGGGGAGAGGTGTGAGCCTGGCACCCAGCTTCTTCTCTCCCCAAAATTGCTTACCCTTACTGACTTCCGCGCAGGTGTGGTTGTCAGTTCTGTTCCTACCTCCAAGTGGGAACAGACTGTCTCTAACCAATGCCTCAGCAACCGCTCACTTACTGTAATTGTGGCCAAAATTATGCCAAAAACCAAAACAAAAATGATGTGTGAGCGTGTTTTTATTCAGGGGTGTCTTGGGGGTCCTTGACATGCAAAGGTCTTTCCCCAGAAACTTAGGCTGAAACAAGCCCTGGCAGCTTTAGTGAGCTGCTAAGCCCTATACAGCACACCAACCATATTTAAGACTCCCAGGTGAAGCTTTTTCTTTCTTGCTTTCTGCACAAACAGGGAGGGGGGTGGGTGAGATTGCCGGGCACACCCTGATGCTCCCCTCCCTTCCCTTTCCTTTGGGGCTTAAAGAGGGGTAAGATCTGTATTATCTGTTGCATTGCAGAGGACTCTGCTTGCAGGCATTTTGCCAAGCTGCCTAATCTCCTGCTGCATTTGAAAGGTTGGTTGTCACCCAGGAATGGCATAGAATATCAAAGGAAGATTGATGGACAGCTGGATCCTTCAGGAGACTCCAGTTGCTGAGTTGCTCACCTCTGAATCATCCTGACCTCCAGTTGACCTGAAAGGCAATATGCAAATCGTGACAATCCTGTTAGTGCTAGTAAATGCACACAGGATTTTAGTAACACATGCAGAGACTAAGCAGGTTCTGTTAACAGAGTTACATTCACTCCATCCTTAGGAAAAGAAAGAGAGAATTGCTAAGTCACTGGTTTTCTTGCAGGTAAAGGTAAAGGGATCCCTGCCCATTAGGTCCAGTCGTGACCGACTCTGGGGTTGTGGCGCTCATCTCGCTTTATTGGCCAAGGGAGCTGGCGTACAGCTTCCGGGTCATGTGGCCAGCATGAGTAAGCCACTTCTGGCGAACCAGAGCAGCGCACGGAAACGCCATTTACCTCCCCGCCGCAGCGGTACCTATTTATCTACTTGCACTTTAACGTGCTTTCGAACTGCTAGGTGGGCAGGAGCAGGGACCGAGCAACGGGAGCTCACCCCGTCACGGGGATTCAAACCGCTGACCTTCTGATCAGCAAGTCCTAGGCTCTGTGGTTTAACCCACAGCGCCACTCGCGTCCCTTTGTCTTACCTTCAGTTCTCCAGATTTACACATCCGTTTGCGATTCATTCATTAAATTTTTTGCCGTATAATTTTTTTATCAGTTTTTTCAAACGTTTTCACAACAATCTTTGAATCAAATATACATTATTTCATGAATTGACTTCCCACCCCCATTTCCCCATTTACTCAAAACATTTTCTACGACATTGTATCTTTATCTATTGCACAAAAATTTTCTATTGCAATTATGTTATCGTCCTTCTTCTGCCGCTTTGATTTCAAATCCTGCCCATGATTTCATTTGACTGTAATATTTTTTTAAAAATAGTCCACGGAAGGCCTCCATTTTTCATCGTTTGGATCTCTTAATTTCGCTGTCAGCTTTGCCATTTCTGTCCAGTTCAATCTCCTCCCCATTAATATATGCGTTCTTTTGCACACTTTACCCTAGTTTATGTGTATGCTATTTCCCTGAGGCGCTGCATTGCAAAATTGCACAAGTGCAAATTTCAGAGGCTGGCGCTGTGTTTTAAATCTGCAGATTGCTTTGGAAAGTGTGGAATAGGTCAGTTCTCCTTTAAATGGGAGCTGAGTCAAATGTCTTTCTTGTCCCCAAGTTGCTGTTCTAGGCTGCTGTCAAGAGTGCAGGGCTGCACTTTGGAATGCAACTAGCATTTGGTTTTGATTTTTCATCCTAGAGAAAGGGCCGGGGCGGGGTCATTAAAAAAGGTCAATAAATAAATGTATGGATGATTGATTGAACAGATAGAATTGCAGGCTGCTGCCAAGTCCAGGTTTTAATTTTGAAACAATTGTGCTGTTGTTCCTCGGGGTCTCAGGGTCCCTAGCGCTGGGCACAAAGTAGGATTTAGCCAATCCTCTTGTGAGTCAGAAAGTGTCGAAGGCACAGAACAAGATGTCTTGTACGCTGGCAAGCTGCGAAAACTGTAGCCCTCAGGTAGTCTTGCCCAAAGCGGTAATTGACTTCCTTTCCCCATTTTTGAGTCCCTAGAACATATGCTTACATTCTTCAAAACCGTGTTGCCTTTTTGTTTCTTGCAGGGTTGTCAAAATGACTGCGCCACTGGATGTATGGAGGCAGCCACAAAGCATGCGATTGAATCTTTCAAGGTATGTCATTTGCTAAAGCAGGAGTGCCTGTGGCAGTTCTCTGCTCTGCGCAAAGCATTGCCCTTAAGATGCACGCAGATGGAGTCAGCCTGTAGTGCCGTGGACATGTGTAAACATTGCAGTCTTGGTGGGGGTGACGTGAAGGCTGCATCTTCTGGAGCAATTAAACTTCAGGGCTTTTTAGGGGTGAAGAAAACAGCTCCAATTCCTTCCTCAGAATCCTGACAGATAGTTGTGAGCGAAAACCTGGAAGCGAGTATACAGTGGTACCTTGGTTCTCAAATGCCTTGGTACTCCAACAACTTGGAACCCAAACACTGCAAACCCGGAAGTAAGTGTTCCGGTTTGCAAACTTATTTCGGAAGTCAAAACGTGCTCCGTTTTGAGTGTTATGCTGAGGTCTGTTTTGCTATTTATTTTGCGTTTTTGTGGCTCTCTTTTTTGTGTGACTGTGTGGAACCCAGTTCAGCTACTGATTGATTGATTGTGTGACTGCAGTACATTGTTTATTGCCTTCATTTTATGGATCAGTCGTCTCGTTAGATAGTAAAAGTCATGTTAAATTGCTGTTTTAGGGGTCTTGAAAAAGTAAAAGTCTGGAATGGATTAAAAAGTAAAAGTCTGGAATGGATTAATCCATTTTGCATTACTTCCTATGGGAAAGTGTGCCTTGGTTTTGGAACGCTTTGGTTTTAGAGAGGACTTATGGAACGGATTAAGTTTGAGAACCAAGGTACCACTATAATGGAGTATTCTGGAAGGGGACATGGAACCTTAAACAGGAGTCTTGAACAGCCCTCACTGCACTTTATTATTCCTTTGGAGTTGAGCTGTGTCTTTGTATTCTTCCAGGCTGTGATGTGTATGGTTTCAATTTTTGAATTCCTTTTGGCAAATTTTGTTTTGCTTTCAGCCTTTTAAGGATCGCCTCGTCTTAAGCCGGCAGCCAGCTCACATTCCAGGTGTAAATTTCAATCGACAGATGGGTCAGCTCAGTCGTAATTAATAACAGCCTGAAAAGTAATATTGAAAAGGAAGGTTTTGCTGACCTTATGCCCTAAGGACTGACCCTCAGGACTATTATGTGGTGTTTGGGCACAATTTTGGTTCCTCTGTTCTATGTCACTCATCTCCCGGTTGGGTCCCTTGAAACTTATTGGACTTCCAGCATGAAAAGCAGCCTTTCCAGGCATCAGAGGTTAAACCCCTGTTCTCTCTGTTTTCCAAGAGAGAATGTGATAGCCAGGATTTATGGCCTAGCTATCGTTAAGCACCACATAATTATCTCTGACAACAGACCATCGACAAGAGGCATCAAGTCCGCCATCTTCCTCAAACCTCAATTTAATTTTAAGTACAAAATAGAGAAGGAGCTCCCAAACTTTACTTGCAAATGAGTTATTGAGATATCGCAAAGTAGTTGTTAGCACCAGGGCTTTTCAGTTTTGCATTTTTGCTTATTTTCTCCACCCTGCCCTGGTGAAAGGGTAAATCTGAATTAAATTGGGAGGAAATGCAGACAGATATTCTCACGATAATGACATAGTGTGGATGCTACAAAAATCTCACATGCGCGAGGAGCACCCCATCCCATAATAAACTTTAGTCTGGAAGCACCCAGCATCCCAAATTCAAAAACTAGCTGGATTTTTTAAAAACAGAACAAAAAAAAAGCAGCCTTCATCAAATGTCTGAAAGTAGACAGTCTCTGACTACCGTCTGAATATGGCTCATGTTAGCATCTGGTTTGTAATATTTGCAGTGAACCTTGTCTAAACCTTGCAGATTTTATCTACACTCTTGCTTACTGTGGCTTTAAAAAAAAGCTTTGGTTACTCCGTTTCAGATTTTAGATTGTTTCTCTGAAGGCATCAGTTATAATTTTGTCGTAAAGAGGCTTGGGGAGCCAGTGTGTCTGTCGAATGGTCTAAACGTGTAAGAAAGGAATAAAATCCTGCCATAATTGGGAGTATCTTTATGGCAGGAATACTACTGTGAAGAAGGCTGTGTGCTTTTCAGAGTACCTTGGGTGAGAAAGGAAAATTACCCTGGCACAAGTTAATATGTTCTTACGAAAGCTCGCTCTAAAAACCATGAATGAGCTGGTTTTCGCAGACACACAAGAGATATGAACAGGCAGTTTGTTTTTTTCCACAGTAATTTCCCTTCCTGTTGTCTTGATGGGCACTGTGTTTTTGCTGAAACTGCTTACGTTTTCTTGGAATCGGTCTTGATATGGATCCAAGGCCGCTGCGGTGCACAGGATTGCTGCGTGTCTGTGTGTGGTCTGTTTCCTATTAGATTCGTCCAGGAACAAACATGAAATGGAAAAATAGAGCCAGAATAAAATAGCACAGAGGACTCTTAATCAGTATTGTTGGGGGTAGAGAGACAAGGGCTGCATAGCCTTCTGGGGACCGCACACCAGAGGTGGGCGGGGTCCAAGGCAAAAGTGGGTGGAGCAACAGATGCAAATGTTACCTTTCTCCAGCGGGCTAGCGTCTACACACAATCACACACCCATTTCTGTCCCCCATCTAAATATGGAAGAGGCATTATCAGAAATCCAGGACATATCCCAGGCAAAAGCAGTTGAGTGCCACACAGTGCCAGTGAAGGTCCAAGGGCCAGACAGAGAGGGGGGGCACTAGGGGGCGCATTGGAAGATTATTATTATTATTATTATCATTATTATTATTATTTATTTCTCCCCGCCCATCTGGCTGGGTTTCCCCAGCCACTCTGGGCGGCTTCCACAGAAACAAAAAATACACTAAAATCACACATTAAAAACTTCCCTGAACAGGGCTGCCTTAAGATGTCTTCTGAATGTCAGATAGTTGTTTATCTCTTTGACATCTGATGGGAGGGCATTCCACAGGGCGGGCGCCACTACCAAGAAGGCCCTCTGCCTGGTTCCCTGTAGCTTTGCTTCTCGCAATGAGGGAACCGCCAGAAGGCCCTCGGCGCTGGACCTCAGTGTACGGGCAGAACGATGGGGGTGGAGACGCTCCTTCAGGTATACTGGGCCGAGGCCGTTTAGGGCTTTAAAGGTCGGCACCAATACTTTGAATTGTGCTCGGAAACGTACTGGGAGCCAATGTAGGTTTTTTAAGACCGGTGTTATGTGGTCTTGGCGGCCGCTCCCAGTCACCAGTCTAGCTGCCGCGTTCTGGATTAGTTGTAGTTTCCGGGTCACCTTCAAAGGTAGCCCCACATAGAGCGCATGGCAGTAGTCCAAGCGGGAGATAACCAGAGCATGCACCACTCTGGCGAGGCAGTCTGCAGGCAGAGCGGCAACTTTGACCTGAACCCCCTCCCCCCAAAAGGCGGTAGATCACTGTCAGTTTTTAATTCTGTGAGTAGATCGCAGTCTCTTGGGAGTTGCCCAACCCTGCTCTACAAGAGCCAGAATCCCTGTTTCTTTGCTGGACATGGAATCATAGAATTGTTGGGATGGTCACCTCAAGGGTAATCTAGTCCAACCCTCTGCAATGCAAGAACCACGGCTAAAAAATCCCTGACAGATAACCTGCCCAACCTTCTCCAATGAAGGAGAGTGAACCACCTTCTAAGGTAGTCCCTTCCACTTTTGAACAGCTCTTACCACCAGAAAGTTCTTCCTAAGTTTTAGTCCCTTTCAACTCTGCAATTGCATGATTCTGTCGAGATGGAATCTCCTTCCTTGTACAGTGGTACCTCAGATTACAGACGCTTCAGGTTACAGACTCCACTAACCCAGAAGTTGTACCTCGGGTTAAGAACTTTGCTTCAAGATGAGAACAGAAATCGCGTAGTGGGAGGTCCCAATAGCTAAAGTGGTACCTCAGGTTAAGAACAGTTCCAGGTTAAGAACAGACCTCCGAAATGAATTAAGTTCTTAACCTGAGGTACCACTGTAATTGGAATCGGATATTTCAGTTCCTACCCTCTGGAGCAGCAGAAAACAAGCTGGCTCCATCTTCAGACTCCTTAGATATTTGGAGATATCTCAGCCCTATCCTCTTCATGCTCAACATATCCGACTCCTTCAACCGTTCCTCAAAAGGCCCACCTCTCTCTGTCTTCCATCTGCCTGAATGAAAGGGAGCTGGAGGGTGGGGGGAGGCGGAGGGAGAGATAAGCAGGCCAATAGATGGAGCAGATGGCCCTGCAAGAACAAGCCCTTAAAAAAAGAAGAAGAAAAAGCCAGGTCACACCAAAGTCTTAGCAGTAAGCACTGCCATGCCTTATGGTCCTGTTACTTAACTTGGTCGGAGTGCAGACTCCGGCTACAGACGTGTTTTGGCTCATCGTACAGCGTCTGCCTTCGAGAGCTTGTCGTTCCAAGCGATGTGGTAGCATAAAGATTCCTCGCAGCTTAGAGCCAAGTCTGGGAATGACTGTTGCTCTTCCCCAAACGCTCCGCCACTCACCAATGCCCTACTAAGCTCTGAAAACGTATCTGCGGTTAAAAACACAGAACAACGATTGCATGCTTCCTGGAAAAAAATTTTTTTTGCTCAAGGCGCACGGTCATTTGGGGGAACGCATCCTGATTGTCCAGGACTGGCAGGGCTGCGACGAGTGTGCAGCAGAGGCAGGAAGGGGGCAGAGGCTGATTGAGGGGAAATGGTCAGCGATCCATGGGGTTTTGTGCCACCCACATAACAGGAGCCAGGAATGGACGAAAGGGAAGAGATGGAGCAGTTGGAGACAGGAGGTGCAGGATGCGTCACAAGAGGAGGAGGGACCAGGAGGGGCTTGAAGAAGCAGGAAAGGCAGGGTGGATTTTATTTAAATCAAATCGATTTAAATCACAATTTAAATCACTAGTCAGGAAGCCTTGATTTAAATCTCTCCCCAACTCCCCCCCCCGAAAGACTCATTCTTGCTGGTATAATCTTAATATTTACAACCAGATGAAGGTTTCATTTTTGGAATAATAAATTTTCAGAGTACTTTTTACAGTTATATAAAAAATTACTGATTTGGTTATATCTATTACAGATAATTATGAAATTATTGTGAGGTTTAATAAGTTAGCTGTTTATATTTGGACAACTTTTCTGCTGTACTTTATCGGAAGGAGAAAAAGAATCATTTCCTGAATAACAATTAAAACAATTTGTTTAACTGAAACAGTAACATTATAGCATATGTATCCATGTTTGTTCACTGATGTGGTTAAAAGATTATTATTATTATTTTATTATTATTTCACAAATTAACACTCTTCTCCCCCTCCCTGCTTCTGACATTTCCTGGGTGGTCCCTTCCTATTGAGACTAGAGGGGCAAAGGGCAGAGGAGATCAGCAGTTGGGTAGATCCACAGCCAGTGACAAGGCAGGACCAACTAATTCTAGTTTTCTTTTTCTTCTTCCTCCTCCGCCTCCTCCAGGCAGAGTTATGCAAAGGCAATATTGAAGCTAAGTAGGAAGAATCATACAACCCTCTGCAATGCAGGAATCCCACCCACAGCCTTCCCTGGGTGGGCTCGAACCACCAGCCTCCTGGTTAACAGCCAGGTAGTGAGTGGGTTAACAGGGACGCGGGTGGCGCTGTGGGTTAAAGCCTCAGCGCCTAGGACTTGCCGATCGAAAGGTCTGCGGTTCGAATCCCCTGCGGCGGGGTGCGCTCCCGTCGTTCGGTCCCAGCGCCTGCCAACCTAGCAGTTCGAAAGCACCCCCGGGTGCAAGTAGATAAATAGGGACCGCTTACCAGTGGGAAGGTAAACGACGTTCCGTGTGCTGCGCTGGCTCGCCAGATGCAGCTTTGTCACGCTGGCCACGTGACCCGGAAGTGTCTCCGGACAGCGCTGGCCCCCGGCCTCTTAAGTGAGATGGGCGCACAACCCCAGAGTCTGTCAAGACTGGCCCGTACGGGCAGGGGTACCAAAAAAAAAAAAAAGGAAAAAAAGTGAGTGCTACCCCCTAGAATGGTTGTAAATACAGTGGTACCTTGGGTTACAGACGCTTCAGGTTACAGACTCCGCTAACCCAGAAATAGTACCTCAGGTTAAGAACTTTGCTTCAGGATGAGAACAGAAATTGCACAGTGGGAGGCCCCGTTAGCTAAAGTGGAACCTCAGGTTAAGAACAGACCTCCAGAATGAATTAAGTTCTTAACCTGAGGTACCACTGTAGGCAAATTGAGGCGGGGAGCAAGGCCGGGGGTGGGGGTGGGTGTTGTTCTCCATATGCCCTAACGGACCGGCCTCCAATGCTTTCTTCTCTTTCCTCTGGCAGTCAGAGGAAAATTGCCTGAATTGTGACAGCGGCTTCTGGCAGACAGTACCGAATAAGAAAATGGTTACAGTTCCGGATTAAATGGAAAACCACAAATTATAAGCCTCCGCAGGTGTTTGTGGTCACCCTCAAGGGGCTCCCCTTCAGGATACAATGCACTTCAGTTTTGCTGCGCCTGCTCATGTTACCAAATGACTAACATCAGACGAACGTTTTGTGCGCATGCCATTTATTTTCTTTTTCTTTATTAGTGCATGTGGGCTGCTGGGATAGTACTGTGTACACGGGCTACATTCAGCTTAGCTTTTACAGTCATACCTCAGGTTACAGACGCTTCAGGTTGTGCGTTTTCAGGTTGCGCACCATGCCAAACACGGAAGTGCTGGAACGGTTACTTCCGGGTTTTGGCGCATGCGCAGAAGGACTAAATCGCACTTTGCGCATGCACACCAAATAGCAACCCGTGCGTGCGCAGATGCGGCGCTGTGGGTTGCAAACGCTGCGGGTTGCGAACGTGCCTCCCACATGGATCACGTTCGCAACCTGAGCGTCCACTGTACTCAAGAGTAGACCAACTGAAATTAACAGTTAGCCATGTGCATTGGTTTCAGTGAATTCTGAGTAAACTGGTGGAATGCAACCCACAGAATTTTATGCTGGGCACAGAAATTCGACATACCGAGGATATGTAAACCCCAGGTGGCAGTATCCAGTGCACTTGTTTAGTTTGCACAAGGATTTCCATTTGTGCAGTGGAATGCCTCGCCCCTGTCCCTGTACGTATCCAGTGCCCTCCCAAAACTGCCCCCAGGGGAATAACTCCCAGAGTAGATTTAAGAGAGAGCACAGGGGCAGAAATTGTGCATTGAACACCTCCCACTGAAATTAATTGGCCCAAGTTGGTCATGTCCATTATTTTCAATGGGTCTGAAGGCTCATCCATTCTTCCCCTTCTTCTACATTTCTAGGCACAGATCTGGGCTTCCCAGGTCTATGTCAGCACTTTTTCTCTTCCTCCACCCCCCGCTTTCCCCATGGAAACCAACTCTTCACCACTGAATCGGAGCATCCTGTAGAAAATCTGAATTGCTGTTTGCTCCGATTCAGCAGTAAGGATCGGGTAATACACTAGCGGCCAAAATTGTGGAAACCTTTTGGGAAAAGTGTATTTCTGATGTCTGATGGCTCATAACACCTGATTGGCTCTCTAAACACTCCTGCTCATTGGCTACATTCAAATAAAGGAAAGCTATTGCATATCAGCCTAAGCAAGTTGTGCTTCCTTTTTTCTGGTTATTTGGCTATAACTTTGATAGAATGCAGATAATTGAACAAACTTTGCATTACATTCTTCATTAAATTATGTTTCAATTGATATATAATTTTACGGTATTACTAAAAAAAAAAAGTGGTGTCATGAGCCATCAAACCTCAGAAAGACACTTTTTCCCAAAAGGTTTCCACAATTTTGTCCACTAGTGTAAATAATAATGATGATGATGATGATGATAGCACTCAGGCACAGACCTGGAAAATGCCGTCCTGTACTTAGAGAACACAAGGTAAAAGGTAAGTCAATATGCCTAGCACTGACTACCACCCCATGTTTTTAAGGTAAAGGTAAAGGGACCCCTGACCATTAAGTCCAGTCACGGACGACTCTGGGGTTGCGGTGCTCATCTCACTTTACTGGCCGAGGGAGCTGCATTGTCTGCAGACAGCTTCTGGGTCATGTGGCCAGCATGACTAAGCCGCTTCTGGCGAACCAGAGCAGCGCACGGAAACGCCATTTACCTTCCCACCAGAGCGGTACTTATTTATCTACTTGTACTTTGACGTGCTTTTGAACTGCTAGGTTGGCAGGAGCAGGGACCGAGCAACGGGAACTCACCCCGTTGCTGGGATTCGAACCGCCGACCTTCTGATCGGCAAGTCCTAGGCTCTGTGGTTTAACCCACAGCGCCACCTGTGTAGTAGCTCTCCACAATTTAAGACAACAGCTTCTCCCCACCAAATCTAGAAATGCTGGGGATTGAACCTGGAACCCTCTGGATGCAGGGCAGATTCTCTACCGCTGAGCTACCGCCTTTCCCCAGTCTGCCCCCCCCCCCCGCAGATTAGATACAGGCACCGACAAACTAAAATAGCTGTTGCATATGTATGTATTGTCCCATTGCGTTTGCTTTCTGAGCCTCCCAAGTTGCCACCTGCCGAGGCTCCCACCAAGACCAGGCTCCCCACACGGTGGCTCTGAATGCCAGCACAATCACGCAGCCGCTTTTGTCCTTTCGCAGCCACTGCTGGTTCTGTTAAGGACAGCATTTCCTGCAGTGCTTTCCCGCCTGCCTACATAGAAGACTTCGGTGCCAATTTTACATCCTGACAAGTCAGCATTAACATTTCCTCAACGCAGACGTTTTGCATCGAGGAAATGAACCTGCGGTTTTCCACCCTATTCTCTCGTGGTTTTTTTTTGGGTGCACGTGTTAATTCTGTTTTTCAGCTTGCAGTCCTGCGCTTACTTAGGGCAGCATGTGCCATGTGATTGCAGTGGCGTTATCTTGTTTTCCAAAAATCAAAATCCCTGGTAGTAGCAGTAATAATAATAATAATTTATTATTTATACCCCACCCATCTGGCTGAGTTTCCCCAGCCACTCTGGGCGGCTCCCAGTCGAGTGTCAAAAGCAATACAGTATTAAATATTAAAAACTTCCCTAAACAGGGCTGCCTTCAGATGTCTTCTAAAAGTCAGACAGTTGTTTATTTCTTTGACATGGGAGGGCGTTCCACAGGGCGAGCGCCACTACCGAGAAGGCCCTCTGCCTGGTTCCCTGTAACCTCACTTCTCGCAATGAGGGAACCGCCAGAAGGCCCTTGGCACTGGACCTCAGTGTCTGGGGTGAACGATGTGGGTGGAGACGCTTCTTCAGGTATATAGTGGTACCTCGGGTTACAGATGTTTGAGGTCACAGATGCTTGAGGTTACAGACTCCGCTAGCCCAGAAATAGTACCTCGGGTTAAGAACTTCAGGATGAGAACAGAAATTGCGGTTCGGCGGCAGTGGGAGGCCCCATTAGCTAAAGTGGTGCTTCAGCTTAAGAACAGTTTCAGGTTAAGAACGGACCTCCAGAACGAATTAAGTTCTTAACCCGAGGTACCACTGTATAGGACCGAGGCCGTTTAGGGCTTTAAAGGTCAGCACCAACACTGGTTGAAAGGACCAGTGCCAGCACTTAATATCCTTGGCCAATGGACAGGGTCCACATGCCCTGGCAGAATGCGCCAGCGTTGCTGGATGGCTTCCCATGGCGAGTGGCTGTGAACTCCTGTTTTAAATTGCTGCGAGTGATCGCCAAAGAAGAATTTTTGTACAAGCAGACCTGTCTAAATGCTAAATAAACAGGACATGTGGGCAAGCCCCCAAATCAAAACCACTTAGTTTCTTGCGGAGCCATCTTTGAAATCTAGTCTCGGGATAGTTTCAGCTGGACACCATCGATATAGCTTTACATGTGTTTTCATGTGCTGCTGTTGTTTTCGTCTGCCCAGGCTGCTGATCTAATCATCACCCCGTCTGCAACTTTCAAAGAGAAGCCGGACCCGAAAGGCCTGGTGTTTGGGACTGTCTTCACCGACAACATGCTCTTCATCGAATGGTCGCTGGCTTCCGGCTGGGAGAAGCCTCACATCAAACCTCTGGAAAACCTCTCGCTGCACCCCTCCATCTCTGCTCTTCACTACGCCGTAGAAGTGAGTACAGCGACAGTATGAGAAGCAGCGAAACAGTATAATGCCACTTTAAGCCATCCTGGCTTCCCGCAAAGAGTCGTGGGAAGTGTTAGTGTGTTAAGGGTGCTGAGATTTGTTAGGAGACCCCTGCTCCCCTCGCAGAGCTACAGGTCACTGGGAAGCGGCATTGGTCGTTAAACTATTATGGGAATTGTAGCTCTGAAACAGGAGCAGGGGTTGCCTAACAACTCTCAGCACCCTTAGAAACTCATGACGGTTTACGTGCAGAACTACTGCTTTACGTGTACAGACGCGGGTTACAGACGCTTCGGGTTGTGCGATTTAGGGTTGCGCACCGGGCCAAACCCGGAAGTACCAGAACAGATTACTTCCGGGTTTTGGTGCATGCGCGGTAGTGCTGAATCGCAACCCGGTCGTGCGCAGGCACACAGGTTGTGAACACTGCGGGTTGCGAACGTGCCTCCCGCATGGATCACGTTCGCAACCCAAGTGTCCACTGTATAATGCAGGAGGGGTTTTTAACACCAAGCTTGCTTCTCTCTCTCTCTCTCTCTCTCTCTCTCTCTCTCCTTCCCTCCCTCATATCTATCCCTGCTTTGCTTAACATCCAGATCGATGAACACTTTCGAAAAACTTTTTTTTTAAAAAAAAACACCACACCCTTTGCTCACTATTTGTGATATTCGGTCTAATAAACGTATGCCCCCCACCCAACTTTGGATTTTGGTTTTGAGTGTGGGTTTTATTTTGAAACAGAATATTTCTTCTTGTGCTTTGTAAAATGTTTTCACCTATGTTTTGGTGATAAACGCAAGGTGCCAAAATCTACTCTGTTGTTATTACTGAGGGTAACTCTAGAATAATCGGATACGGAGGGAGAAGGAATGCAGAGAGGGAGAGATGGCAACATTGCTGACCCCATTTTTCCAGCAACACATAGTTAGGAGGAAATGTATGATGACCTATGTCCCCATCCCCATTTCATTGGCTGCCATTGGCATGTCAAGACAGGGACATGTCCACAGGATTGCATCATTTTGCTAGTTTTCTAAAGCTTTAACGTTAGCCACTGATGATGATATTATTATTATTGTTGTTGTTATTGTTGTTGTTATTATTATTATTATTGCTACAATTGATTTATTAATCACCCAAAGTGATTTACACGTAAAAGAATTAGAAACCGTTAAAAATGCAAAACAGATATATTTAAAACAAGACTAAAACCCTAACAAGTGGACACTCATGATAAATACCCATTTATATCAGCTGGAAAAAGCCTGTTGGAACAAAAATATCTTCGACTGTTTCAGGAAAGTGTAGATAGGAAATGATGGGAAATGATATATAATGAATTGAAAAAGATGTTTAAAATAACGTTTGTAAAAACAAAACAAAACCCAGAAGCCGTCCTTTGGGGGAATTAAGGGACAGAACAACCCAAACTGTATATAAATTATTCAAGTATCTGACTACAGTGGCAAGAATGTTACTTGCCCAAAAATGAAAAGAAGTCCCAGCAAAATAAGAATGGATACAAAAACTTATGAAATATGCAGAAATGGCAAAACTTACCGGGGGGGGGGGGGTGGGAATCAAGACAACAAACTACTTTTTGTAAAAGAATGAAATGGTTTATTGAATATTTACAAATAAACTGTAAATGGATAAGAACACTGGCTGGATTATTGTAATAACCTGCAGTTTTACAAGAGGATATTTTTAAAGTAGATGAATAAATGATATGCAGAAAATATTAAAAAGAAAGTTAAGGAACCGCAGAAAGAGGGGGAAGGAAGTCAAGTTTTGAAATGTTGAAATGATCGTAAAATTATTGAAATGTATAAAACTGAAAATCATAAATAAAATGATGATGATGATGATGATGATGATGAAAGTGTAGATAGTTGGGCCTCTGTCATATCTCGACAGGAATTCTCTTATGGGGAGGCATCCGTGCCCTTCTGCAAAACATGTAGTTTAGCTCAATAACCTTCAACCTGGGGCTCACCTTTTAGTCCAAACATACATTTGAGGACCCATTTCTTCATCTTTCTGTATATTTATGGTAGCACTTCTACTGTTCTGACTCAATTGAGGCATGACCTTGCAGTGAGTCCCAACCCTCCAGATGAAGACCAATGATCTCAACGTAGGGTATTGAGAACCGACTCAGTAGGATTTCAGAAAGTCATGTTTACTCTGTCAGAAGCCGGGGGGGGTGCCACTAGCACCATTCATTTATTTGTGACGACTGTTTAAGACCTTAGCAGTTTACTTCTGCCATTTTTAAACGTCCGTGTAGTGCCACAGTGAAAGTTGGGGGGGGGGCAGGTGGAGAGCAGCTGTTGTGAAGTACCAAGCCCCCACCCTCCATTTTTCTTGGTGGGATTGGGAGCTGCCAGTTCTTTGCAGCTGAAAAGATGGCTCAGTCATGTCAAGAATAGGCCAGCCAGATGAGAACACTGCTCAACCATAAGGCAGTGGAACAAACCCACATTTCTAGGTTAACTCTTGTCTTCTCTAATTTGGTAGCAATAGCCACCCCTTGCCCCATGTCAGGAGCTCATCCTACTCTCGAGTAGGACCCTGGCAGAGACACATGCCCAACTGGCATGTTCCCTCCCTCCTGGTCTTTCATTCGGGAGCTTCAAAAGCTTTCTTCTGCCCAAACATCACAGCGACCGATGCCAACAGACATCGGCACGCTTAGGGGTCTGCAGAGTCTTCGCAGCTTTCTTGACAGACCTCAGCAACTCAGCATTTTGGCTAATCTACTTTATTTACATAGAAGCACACACGGAGCACTGCAACATGGCTCCCTCTCTCAGACAGCAAAAAGAAAAAGAACAAAGGACAATAGTCCCACTTCACGGAACCCAGTAACACAAACATCCTGTCTCTGTCACTTCCCACTCTGTGGAGTCAAAAACATACACCGTCATGTGATAGACAACAATCCCATGACTGCAATCATGGAGGAGGAATTCTAACAGGCATGCCTTGCCCGTGTTTCCCATCATCCCTGCCCACTGTTCCTGCAGTTGAGCTAAGTTGTTTTTTTTAAAAGCAAGCATAAAATAAGATTTATTCTGGAGATATACTCAAAATGGTGAATGCCTCCAAGCACACGATGCATCGGGTTACATTCCTAGCCGTGCTGCATGTTGGGGTTTTAAGAATGCATGCTGTGAAATAAATAAGCAAACATATTAAGGGAGGTTCAGACCTGTACGTACATCACTCAGTTATTAAAAAAAACGAATGACTTGGAGCTGAATGAATGAACTGACTGCCGCGAAAAGTATTGCACTTTAGATTATGACTGCACATTTTGATATCACAATAAGCCATGGTTTATCATGATGGGAATGAGATTGCCAAATCATCAGACTTCTACTTGCCTTCTCCCCAGCACGGGTATGATAAATTTAGAAGATTTCGTTTCCGTTTTGATTAACGGTGGCTTGCTGTGTTGCCCGAACTCAACCATCTGTGGTTAGCTTAACTATGGTTTGTTTAGATAGAAACAAGCCAGCTTCAGGCCATAGTTTGTGAAGTTGGCCAACTTCAGTTACTTCAAATTAAGACTATATCCACAGTTTGGGTTGCGTAATAATAATAATAATAATAATAATAATAATAATAATAATAATAGTGAAACAGAAGCAAAAGTTTCCAGTCTCCTCATGAGCCATACCAGATGAGAAGGGGGAACATGGAAGGCTCGCATAGGCTCATTTGCATCATGATAAACTCTGGTTTATTTGTGATGTTCAAACACAGACACTATGGAAGTATTGTCTGTGATGTCTGGCCCATGCTGATTCATTTGCACACACAACTCATCATTCGATACTGCAAAAGGCAACTGATTGCTTTTGTTAATTAGCCCCTCGTCTTTGCAAGCAAAACAAACTACGCCAGCCGTTCTGCTGGACAATTAAGTAATTTATAGTGGTGTGGCACAGTTGTAGAACTTGAAGCTTCCTGCAGCAAAACGAACTAGTAACTACCAGAAGCCAGGATGGTTAATGGTTAAGGCACCAAATGTCCAACGAGACTGAACATGTTATGCCACCATTGGTCTCAGAGCCTCAGCAAGTGCACATTTCCGCTGCCACAGAGCATGTGGAAAAAATGTGGCCGTGAAGTCCTCTCCCTCTTGGACACATTTTAAAATGTACATTTGTTCTGGCATTGCTGAACTTCCATGCTTTCCAAAGATTTAGATGGGGAACAGAATTTGGCCCCAAACCCTTTCCCTGAAAAAATTCTAAGCTCTCAGGGATACAGTACTGGGCTCTCTCTCTATTTTTTAAATCCATTTTTGTTTTTAAGTAAACATTTTAACCTCTTGCCTCCCAAAGAAGAACTCTGTGGGGGTTATTTTTTGGGGGGTGGGAGGAATTTTTTATACTGAGGAGATCTGGATGCAGTCAGGCAGTTTTCCCCAAACTAGTGCCCTCCAAATGTTTTGTATTAAAGCTCCTGTCACCTCTGATTGTCGGCCATGCACTTGGGGCTGATGGAAGTTGGAACCCAAAAGTTCTGGAGGTCACCGGGTCGATAATGACTCCCCTGTTTTTATGTGGAGCGAGGAGCCACGGTGGGATCCTGGATGTTTGTCTCGCTCGCCGTAGCGTTATTGGTGTAATACGCTGTCTCTGAAATCTTCATTGCTAATAACCAATATGCTCTTTTTAATATATACATATTTCCCCCCCTATTTTTTTTCCTATTTTATTTATTCTCCCCTTTGACCTTTGTTGCACCGTGTTTCCTCTAGCCAAGAGGACTGACAGAGGCGAAACTGCTCCAAATGCTTTGGCTCAATGAATATACAGTGGGTATAACACAACATGACAACGATGCTTTTGGCATTCCCCCCCCCCCATCTCACCCCACCCACGTCTCTCTGCATTTCTTGTGATCCGTGCCCCCTCCGCCATGATAATCCTGGCTCTGCAGGCTACGTGGTCTAGCTTGTGTGTTGCAGACGCACAGCAGATGTCAGATTATTACTGTTTGTTTGTGTGTGTGAATGAATGTATGGATGCCGCCATCAAGAATGAGCCTAAACTAGCCTTTCCAATATTGTCTTCATTTAGCAGAATCTGAGATCTCCTTATCCTGTGGCTTCCAGAAGCTGAAATTCAGAAGCATTTATGCCTGGAAACCATGGGAGGGGAGAGCATAACCGCATGGTAGCTCAGAAAACCCTTTTTAAGCAAGTTTGGATGGCCAGTCGAATTACCAAAATCCGTGGGAGTAAATTCCATACATTTGAACTGTCGGCTGCATGAAGAAACGTTATTTCTGGTCTTTCATTGGTAGCCACCTGCAAGCTCTAGTCCTCTTGCAAGAGGGTATGCCTGAATGGTTAAACCTTAAAGGTAAAAAAGGCAAAGGACCGCTGGATGGTTAAGTCCAGTCAAAGGCGACTATGGGGTTGCGACACTCATCTCGCTTTCAGGCCGAGGAAGCAGGCTTTTGTCCACAGACAGCTTTCTGTGGCCAGCATGACTAAACTGCTATTGGCGCATGGAGGTCTGGCACGAGTGCCAGGGCGCATGGCGCTGTGGTCTAAACCACTGAGTCTCTTGGGCCTGCCGATCAGAAGGTGGGTGGTTCAAATCCTCGCAACGGGGTGAGCTCCATTGCTCTGCCCCAGCTCCTGCCAAGCTAGCAGTTCGAAGGCATACTAGTGCAATTAGATAAATAGGTAGCACTGCGGCGGGAAGGTAAACGGCATTTCCGTGCGCTCTGGCTTCCGTCACAGTGTTCTGTGGCACCAGTAGCGGTTTAGTCATGCTGGCCACAAGACCTGGAAAGCTGTCTGTGGACAAACGCCCAGCTCCCTCGGCCTGAAACCAAGATGAGCGCCGCAACCCCATAGTTACCTTTGAGTGGACTTAACCGCCCAGCGGTTCTTTACATTTTACCTAAAATCTTATCTCTAGGCACTTCCTTCACAACATACTTTTTTGCACCTATATCATACCCCACGGATTCGCTTTTACCCCTAACTAAAAATTAAGGGGAGGGGGATGGGAGACTGGAAATTGAAAGTGAAGGTCTGAAGGCAGTTTCTGTGCATTGAAAATCCTGTTTCGGACCCTCGCTTAGAACATGGGGCTGGCATGCCCAGGGATGGTGAGGTGGGACTTCCATTTTTTGCCCATATCCCCTCCCCACTTTTAGCTCACAGACGTAGGAGCGGACGCCTGAATAGGACCTGAGTTGGGGGACTTCCAAGTAAACATGCGTGCCCTGTGTAAAATTAAAGTAATAACTCCGAGCTTTTCTGGCTGGTTGCCTAGGCAACTATGCAAGTAGCTGTTTATAAGCTAGCATCGTAACAGACTTTGGCCTAATGTAACACTTTAAAGACTATCACCTCCCCATTGGGCTGTTTGAGAGATACACCAGGGGTATCTTCTTAATGGTATTTTTATTTTAAAAGCGTTTCTAGCCTACTAAAAACAAAGTGAATAAACAGTACAAAAGAGTGGCATTAGAATATGAAAAACCTGGAAGAATAAGCTTGTCTTCACTGGGAACCTAAAAGCTAACAGTAGAGTTGTTCACACATTATGGATGTATCTGTGTACACAAATGGTTCAGCTGTACACAAATACTAGACTTTCACGTGTAACGTTCAGTGGCTATGCATCCAGTGTACCTGTGTAAACAATAGCTGAGCTGTGCAAACAGGGTACACACAAATGCTACACTCGAGATGTGGGGGGGGGGCAGTTTGTCCCTAGGTCCAGTGTAATGTGAGAACAGCCCCACTGAAGGAGCAGGATGGGTGTTCCCAGAGAGATGATTCCACAACTGGGGTCAGTGCTGGCCCGAGACATATTGCTACCTAAGGCACAGCACGAAATGGCACCCCCCCAAAACCCCACCCATAAATAAATGAAGGTACATAATACTCGAGGCCTGTCAAGTTATTTTGTCATCTGAGGCAGAAAATCCCACAGGTGACTCTGCCCTTCCCAGACACTAGAAACATTATACAGTGGTACCTTGGTTTAAGAATGATTCGGTTTACGAACTCCGCAAAACCGGAAATATTGTCCCGGTTTGCAAATTTTACCTCAGTCTAAGAACGGAATCTGAACGGTGGAAGGGCACCGGCAGCAGGAGGTCTCATTAGGGAAAGCGCACCTCGGTTTAAGAACGGTTTCGGTTTAAGAACGGACTTCCGGAACGGATTAAGTTCGTAAACCGAGGTACCACTGTATATTGAATAGCAAGTTGCTCCTCTTTAATGGTACCCAAATCAGCTGCTTTGGGCAGCCCTTCACTCTTCCCAATAACAGTGCTGGCCTGATCCGGGTGTCATAGCTAAGAAGGCCACTTGCTTAGTTTCCACAGGAGCAGGGTCTTCACAAACTGGTTTGTCTGATAACAAAACTACAGCTTTCCTTGGGGATTTCTGTTTGTTATCCCCCCCCCCAAAAAAAAATAGAATGGGTGGCTTGCAGATAGGCAGGGCGCTTGCAGATTTCCAAAACAAAGGAAATGTGGCGTTTCAAAAGATAACCTGCACTTGCGGACCCACTCAGGTGTTAAGATCAGGGACGGCCCTCTCTAACCTCTGACACCTCAGAGAGGGAGAGAGAGAGAGAGATTTTGAGGATGCACCTTATTATTTTGATGCTAACCCATTTTAACTTATTTTTTAATATTGTATTTTTAAAATTGTTGTAACCCCTCCTTTAAAAAAAAAAATTGGTAAGAATTTTCACAAGTTGTAATCCACCCCGGGACTTTTGTGGTGAAGAAATCTACTAATGATGATAATTTAGGAATAGTTACTCTGGTTGAAATAGATGCATAGAATTGTTGACTCAGAAGGGACCCCATGGGTCATCTAGCCCAACCCCTGCAAGGCCTCCACCCATATGAACTGGAGGCAACATGAGAACAGCTCCTCATTTGTGGAATGCTTTTCCCAGGGAGACTCACCTGATGTCTTCCTTACTTATCTTTGTGTGCCAGGCAAAAATATTTCTCTTCTCCCAAGCCTTTGACTCATTAAACAATCTATGCCCTTTAAAAATAATAATTGGGAGGGGGTTACTGTTTTTGTTCATTACTACATTATGTATTTTTATGTTTGTGTACTGTAAACCACCTTGTAATCCCCAGATGAAGAAGGACTGTATAGAAATAATAATAATAATAATAATAATAATAATAATAATAATGGAATCCCTGGCAGATGGTCAACTTACCTCTTTAAAAAACCCCAGTGAAGGTAGAGTCCACCACCTCTTGTGGGAGTCTGTTCCACTGTCAAACAGTTCTTACAGTCAGAAACTTCTTCCTGAAGTTTAGTCGGAATCTCCTTCCTTGTACAGTGGTGCCTCGCAAGACGAAAAGAATCCGTTCTGTGATTCTCTTCGTCTAGCGGTTTTTTTGTCTTTCGAAGCAAACCCATTGAAGGATTAGTGGATTAGCTCTATTAGCGGCTTTTAGCGGCTTATCTGCTGATCGGATCAGCTGATAAGCGGCTTAGCGGCTTAGAAAAGGGGGGGGGAGGGGAAAAAACCAGCAGGAACTCGCAAGACATTGTTGTCTTGCGAAGCAAGCCCATAGGAAATTTGTTTTGCGAAGCACCTCCAAAACGGAAAACTCTTTCGTCTAGCGAGTTTTCCGTCTTGCGAGGCGTTGCCTAACTTGAAACCATTGGTTTAGGTCCTACACTCTGGAGCAACAGGAAAAAAGCTTGCTCCATCTTCCATGTGACAGTCCTTCAGCTATATCTCCTCTCAGTCTTCCTCTTCTAGAGAAAAACAGAACAAAACCAGAAGCACAATACATTTTACCATAGTTGTGGAAAGCTGTGCTCAGCTGACTGTGTGGCTTGCTCAGTCAGCTGGCCAATAACTATTATTATTATTATTATTATTATTATTATTATTATTATTATTATTATTTGCTACTTGTTGATGGACAACCTCAAGGGCCCATGCTGGTCTTCCATCTTATAGTTCTTTATCTTTAAACTGGAGGTGGACCAGGCAGCCCTTCAATAGAAGGCGCCTTCAAATGGAAGTCCTAGCCCCTGGAGCAGGAGAAAATGAGTTTGCTCCATCCCCCATGTGACAGCCCTTTAGATCTCTGAAGATGGTTATCATATTTCCTCTCAGTCTCCTCTTTTCCAGGCTAAACATACCCAACTCAACTGTTCCTCATAAAGCTTGGTTTCCAAAGCCTTAATCATCTTGGTTGTCCTCATCTGCACACATTGCAGCTTGTCAGCATCCTTCTTAAATTGTGGTGGCCAGAACTGGACACGGTACTACAGGTGTGTTCTGATCAAGGCAGAATAGAGTGGTTCTATTACTTCCCTTGACCTGGACACTATACTTCCGTTGATGCAGCTTAGAATAGCATTAGCTGGGGTTTTTTGCTGCTGCGTCGCACTGTGGACTCATGTTAAGCATGTGGTCCACTAAGACCCCTAGATCCTTTTCACATGTACAACTCATAATCTAGGGAAAGGTTCAGGCTGTTCCAATCTGAAATGAGATTTGTTTGTGGGACTTCTATGACCTAGCCAGGACACTTCACCAGCTCCCACGCCCAGCTCTGATTTTGTTGCGGTGGAAAAATCCCTCTCTCTGCTGTTTTCAGTTTAATCATCCTGCCCGGAACTCCCCACTGGTTTTCCCCCTTAGCTACTGAAAAGGCTGACTTGGGCACTGCGGGATTTTCGAGATGTTTCCCGTCCTTCCAGGAACAGACAAGAAAAGGCATTGACAAGGCCTTTTTGTCCTTGTGCAATGATTTCATTCTTGGTTTGCCTCCAAACTCTGCGAAATATTTTAGCAAAAGCTAATAATAATAATAATAATAATAATAATAATAATAATAGGCAGTATGGGGCATCTTCCAAACCGTGCATCTAGGGTAAAATAAAATACAATAGCTGTTCTGCTCTATGGGTCTGTGTAAGAATTTAGGCAAGCAGTGTTTCAGACCAGGGACACCAAGACAATCCTAGTACAAGCTGTTATCCACTTTTGAAAGTTTAGCTTATCTCCCTGTAGATTGGGCGCGGCTTTGAGATGTGCCAGCTTTCGTTTCTTACCAAATAAAATACGTTTCTCGCTGTCGTGATTGCTAGGATAGATATGAAACTGTGGTGCTTTTGAAAACGGCGAAGATATGTTGGTGTTTTGAAGCTGCGATATGAAAAGGTTTACGAGAACTTGCTACTCCAATAAGCAAAAGCTGCACTTCTAAACATATAATATATTAAGTGTTAAGTCCCTGTAACACAGTGGGACTTACTTCTCCGTAAACGCACCAAGGATCGCTCTGAAAACCTGCCATTCGCTGCTAAAAATGACAGTGTATATTTGCTGTTTTATTCCCATAATCACAAACATACCAAACTAGAATTATTATTATTATTATTATTATTATTATTATTATTATTATTATTATTATTATTAAAATATATATGCCACCCTATACCCACAGGTCTCAGGGAGGTTCACAGGATAAAATCACAATAGTTCGTTCGGTCATAACATAAATGTGTGTACAAACTGCAAGTCCCTCTCCTGCCCTTGCATCCTCCCATTTTCTTTCCTGGCTTACTTTTTCCATGGCAAAACTGCTTGCACAATCCATAGTTTGAAATCCTGATTTCATTGTGGGGTGGCATGAGGCAGGGAAACCTTTTCGACAGTGGGGTGGGGGCACACATTCCCTTGAGGGTAGTATTCCAGAGAGGTTGCAGGAGCAAATGTAGGGGTGGACAAAGGCAAAACTGAGGGGGGCAATGGATTCGAATGTTACCTTTGACTACATTCCAGCTTCGCAAAAACCAGAGGTTCTTACACATTCCCTCCTCTCTCCTTCCAGCCAAACAGGAGGTACTGTCACAATTCAGCTAGGCAAATTCCAGCAAGGCAAAAACACTTAAGGAGGGTGCGGGACAAGGCTTTTTTGTATATATAACTTAGCAGCCCCACTGTTTAAAAATCGGCAGGCACTGATTGAAAATTGGCAGGTTAACCATGGGACTGTCTAACTGATCAACCAGCTGAAGCTCACAGCCCTAGAGGGAACAGAATATCCATCAGGGTGCCAGTACTGGAAAGTCCGCGCCCCTCCCCAAAAAAGTCGGGTACATTTTTGCAGCCCTTTAATAATGCGTTAGATAGTTCTTTTCTAATGTGAGAGGTGGATATAGGAGGCAACAAACCTAATGTGTGGAATGATGCAGAAGTTGCTCAGTTTTTATTTAACGTTAACGTTCTGAACATGTAAAGCTATCAATGATTTCATTTGGAATGCACATGCGTTGATTATTACAGTATTTTATTTTACCTGTGTGTGTGCATGTTCATGTGTGTGTGATATTAATCGCTGTCTGCCGTTTCCGCTCAACTTCTCTGATTCCTCCCTTCTTGGTTCCTTTAGCTGTTCGAAGGCATGAAGGCGTACCGAGGGGTGGATGGCAAAATCCGCTTGTTCCGTCCGGGACTCAACATGGACAGGATGCTGCGGTCAGCTCTGCGGGCGACTTTGCCAGTGCGTAATGCAAGCATTTACTTTTCTTCCCCCTGCTCTTTCCCCCACTGTGACTTCGGACAGTGTTTTCATCCCGACTGGTAAATCCTTTCCAAGATCGAAAGCAGCGTTTCTGCCAAGGAGATTCCTCAGAGATAGAATCAGTGAGAGACGGCGCAAGATCTTGGGTTACACGGAGCTGTTTATCCATAAAATGTCGAATGAGCTCCTACGCGACCATTATAAGGTCATATAATTGTAGAGGTAGAAGGGACTATGAGAATCATCTTGTCCAGGGGTGCCCAAACTGTTTTCAAAGATGGCCAGATTTGATAATAACAACAACAACAATTTATTATTTATACCCCGCCCATCTGGCTGGGCTTCCCCAGCCACTCTGGGCGGCTTCCAACAGAACACCCAAATACAATAACCTATTAAACATTAAAAGCTTCCCTAAACAGGGCTGCCTTCAGATGTCTTCTAAAAGTCTGGTAGTTGTTTTTCTCTTTGACATCTGGTGGGAGGGCGTTCCACAGGGCGGGTGCCACTACCGAGAAGGCCCTCTGCCTGGTTCCCTGTAACTTGGCTTCTCGCAGTGAGGGAACTGCCAGAAGGCCCTCGGAGCTGGACCTCAGTGTCCGGGCAGAATGATGGAGGTGGAGACACTCCTTCAGGTATACTGGACCGAGGCCGTTTAGGGCTTTAAAGGTCAGCACCAACACTTTGAATTGTGCTCGGAAACATACTGGGAGCCAGTGCAGGTCTTCAAGACCGGTGTTATATGGTCTCGGCGGCTGCTCCCAGTCACCAGTCTAGATGCCACATTCTGGATTAGTTGTAGTTTCCGGGTCACCTTCAAAGGTAGCCCCACATAGAGCGCATTGCAGTAGTCCAAGCGGGAGATAACTAGAGCATGCACCACTCTGGCGAGACAGTCCGCGGGCAGGTAGGGTCTCAGCCTGCGTACCAGATGGAGCTGATAAACAGCTGCCCTGGACACAGAATTGACCTGTGCCTCCATGGACAGCTGTGAGTCCAAAATGACTCCCAGGCTGCGCACCTGGTCCTTCAGGGGGCACAGTTACCCCATTCAGGATCAGGGAGTCCTCCACACCTGCCCGCCTCCCGTCCCCCAAAAACAGTACTTCTGTCTTGTCAGGATTCAACCGCAATCTGTTAGCCGCCATCCATCCTCCAACCGCCTCAGATGAAGTGAACATGTGTGAAGGCCAACCCAGGTTGTTGAGCTTTTGGGGGGATTTGACCCCAAGAAATAAACTGCCACAGGGGCCGGATTAAACCAGCCGGGGGTCCAAAGTAGGCCCCCCAAACTGACTGCCTGATCTAGTCCAACCCCATTCGATTCAAGAATCTTTTGCCCAGTGCATGGCTCATACCCACAAACCTGAGATTAAGAGTCTGAGGCTCTAGAATGGCAACACTTCAGGACCACTTGTCCTGTTAGCTAGGGATGATGGGAGTCGTGGTCCCAAAACAGCTGGAGGGCCGAGTTTGGGGATGCCTGCTTTAATACATCTCTTGGTTGGGAAGGGGGGAATCCGTAATGAAGGAGAAATGTGAGACTCAAAGAACCTTCCCTGTACCCTCCTCCCCAAAAAACCCCTGCAGGCATTTAAAATGTCCAGCCCAAACTCGTGCTTTAGAGATGTGTTGCACAATTGCTATGAAATCAATTAAACTGTTTTGTTTGTTGGGTGTTTAGAATCATATGACCTCTCCTGGCGTCTCATTCACTAGCGGTAGTTGGAACGTCACGGCCTCTGGCTTAATAGGCTAATTAAACGTCGCGGCTGAAGTGTGCTCCCAACCATGTTAAGGTTATTCTAAGTGTTGCCTTCTTCTGCCTTTGCTTTCAGGGATTTGACAAAGAAGAGCTTTTGGAGTGCATCCGGAAACTCGTGGAAGTCGAAAAGGAGTGGGTGCCGTACTCGACCGCCGCTAGCTTGTACATTCGCCCTACGTTAATTGGGACAGAGGTTTGTGGGAAAACTAACCTTGTTCTTTGTTTTTCTTCATTTTTGCACTGGGCATTTTTGCTAACTGAGGCCTGGTCTGAACATGGCAGCAGAATCCAGAGGCAGCAGAATGAGTTGTACCACATTAAAACTGCAAGGTTGGGGAGCAGTTCTCAGAATTTCCCCTCCTGTGAAAATAAATCTGTGCATTTTTTTTAGAAAAGGGGGGGGGGAGAGCACATCAAAAAGGAATATTCAATCCAGCCTATTTCTTGCTGTGTCATTAAAAAAAGGAAAACCCTGCAAAGGTTCATCTATTCCTATCGCCACCTGCATTCTGAGACAGTCTATTCCGTCACCTCCTGAATTCTGCCTCCTCGTCGCTGTTGCATTTGTAGCCCAGTCCTCACTTTTGATGCACCTAGAAGCGGGCGTTGTGTGTTCATATGGAAGTTAACAGCTCAAGCTCACATGCACAGATCCTTTGTATGGCCTAAAGAGCATCCGGCATGCGCTGGTGTTTTCTGTTGTCCTGGGAAGGCATAATGTCTGTGCATTGTTTGAGCATAGAGGATTTCTGTGCAAGAGCAAGGCTCTGCTTTTAACCTTGCAACTTGCGGTTGCCGGCAGAGAAATCCTAATGTGCTCTATGTGAATGAATAAGTCCTACTTCACACAAAAGTGCCTTCGTGGATCTCTCCATGTAAAGGAAGAGGTGCTAATAATAATAATAATAATAATAATAATAATAATAATAATAATAATAATAAAAATATAAAAAAAATTATTTATACCCCATCCATCTGGCTTGATTTCCCTAGCCACTCTGGGTGGCTCCCAACAGAACACTAAAAACAGAATAAAGCGTACATACTCTTTCCTGTAGCCGAAATGGCACTCTCTTAGGAAAATCCTTGTGTGCAGCACAGAGAAGAGACGGGATGTTCTCTTTTGTAAAGTTGCAGCCTCTGTATTTAGAGATAACCATAGTGCCACCTAGTGGAAGTCTTTTCTTATTTCATTGCACAGCTTGAACTTGTCCATTCTTTTTCATTTGAACATTCAGATTTTCCAGAAGGAGACCTAGGTTCCCTTCTGTTTGGTTGTGCATGCTCAGGTGTGGCATTGCAGAATATGTGTCCCCTTGTGTTGCATAGGAAGTAAGGTAAAGGACCCCTGACCATTAGGTCCAGTCGTGACCGACTCTGGGGTTGCGGCGCTCATCTCGCTTTATTGGCCGAGGGAGCCGCCGTACAGCTTCCGGGTGATGTGGCCAGCATGACTAAGCCGTTTCTGGCGAACCAGAGCAGCGCACGGAAACGCCGTTTACCTTCCTGCTGGAGTGGTACCTATTTATCTACTTGCACTTTGATGTGCTTTCGAACTGCTAGGTTGGCAGGAGCAGGGACTGAACAACAGGAGCTCACCCCGCCTTGGGGATTCGAACCGCCAACCTTCTGATTGGCAAGTCCTAGGCTCTGTGGTTTAACCCACAGCACCACCCGCTTCCCTGCGTAGGAAGTACTCTATTATTATTAATATTTGTACATTGTACATTGCCCTGCACGCGCAGATCTTGGGGTGGTTCGCGACATAAAATTTCACTATAAAAAACGCAAAATGCTTAATTAAAATAAGAACAAAAGCAAACCAATATTTCCCCTCCTTCCACAATCAATATGATTTCAAATCGGTATGGAAGGTGAGCCAATTTTAAATCAATATGGAACATGTAGCAGTAGTATGTAAACCAGAGGCAATTATAAACTGGTGCTTCCCCCTCCCCAAGCCTGACCTGCTGCTTCCTCCTTTAATAGTAGCTTCCTCTTCAGTGGCAAAGAGCTAAGTTTCGATTGTCATTTGCTCATTGCTGCAGATCAAACTGCTATTGGAAGGATGGCTTTGGAGGAACCTTTGCCATCCAGAACCAGAAAGGATGGCTGCAAGGAACCTTTGCCATCCAGAACCTTAAGCTAAGGGAGCCATGCCTGCCGTCCAGGACCCCTGAGATCAATCAATCTGGGGTTGCTTGGGTCTCATCCTACTTCATTTTTGGCCCTTTTCATTCCTATCAGGCTCTCTAGAATCATAGAGTTGGAAGGGGCCACAAGTGCAATCTAGTCCAACCCCCTGCAATGCAGGAATATTTTGCCCAACGTGGGGCTCGAACCCACTACCCTGAAATTGAGAGTCTCATGCTCTACCAACGGAGCTATCGCAGAACCTCGTCTTTTTAAAAAAAATATATATGCAGTGAACTAGAAGTGAACCCACTGTTCAACCGAATGGGCACCGAAGAACCAAATTTTACATGGGGGTGTGTGTGTCATCTTTTAAAGGGAGTTTGATACATTCATGAAAGTAAAGGGTATCAGTGGCTGCTATAGTCGTGGTGGTTGTAGAGGATTACCTCCAGTATAGGGCAGTTTGCCTCTGAAAAACTGCTGCAGAGAATCCCATGCAAGAGAATGCTGTTGCTGTTTGCTGGTGGGTTTCCCATAATCCTCTGTTTCACTGCTGAGAAGAGACAGGGCTTCTGGTCTGATCCAGTAGGTCCCTCCTTATGCTCTTAACGTCACCTCTCTTTCCACTATTCAGCCGTCCCTTGGAGTCAAGAAGCCGTCGAAAGCCCTCCTCTACGTCATACTGAGTCCTGTGGGCCCGTACTTTTCGAGCGGCAGCTTCAACCCCATAGCCTTATGGGCAGATCCAAAATACGTCCGAGCCTGGAAAGGAGGAACCGGGGACTGCAAGCTGGGAGGGTAAGATCATCCTGACGAAGTAACACCCATGTGACGCTAATGCTCAGCGTTCCTGAATTCCATGTAGGCATGAGAGCATTGGATTCTCATTTTCAAAATGGCGGGTGGGTCATTTGGGTTCATGCCATTGGCCCACCTAGCCCTTCATTGTCCATTCCGGCTGGTTGCAGCTCTCTGCATTTCTTGGGCAGAGATATTTCCCAGCTCTCGTCGCCAGAGAGTTGGAGGAGATGTCAGCGTTGGGACTAGGACATTGCTAGTCTCAGTTCACGACGTGCGGACTAGGCTGGAAATCATGTGATGAGCATGCTTCTTATCTGAGAGTGCATCAAAAACATGTCCCAGAATCCTCTGGGACACAGTATACTCCAGTTTTGGAGCTCCAAGCTGCATGCATTTTCAAAGGGACAGATTATTGTTCCATCCATCTAGCTCTGAAGTGTCTGCCCTAATGGGCAGTGGCTCTCCTAGGGCTTGGGCAGAGCTCCTCCACATCACCTGCTGTCTGATCTCCTGGAGATGGGCAAACACCTTTTGCATGCAAAACATGGGTTATACCAGTGCACCATGGCTTCTTCTTCCATAGTCATTGTGCCTTGCAGGCATCCCTAACTGCCCTGAAAACATTGCAGTTGGCAGCAGTGCACAGCCCCAGGCACAGGCCTACTTATTCTCCCTCCTTATGGGGCAAGCCACCCCTTGGCTTATGTATTAATTCTCCACAACCCCCCAGAACAAAAATCCTGCTAGTATCCCTTATATTAGCCATTTCTTTTGGCTGATAAAAGATTTCCTAACTGTAACAAAAGGACCACAACATCGTCTTTCATTGTAAGAATTACTGGGAAGTGAAGTGCTTTGCATACACTAAATCAGGGGTCAGTAAAGCTTACGGAGCCTGGGCCGGTCCACTCCCCCAGAGATCTCTCCGCAGGCTGGATCACATGCGAGCACACATGCGCACATTTGCAAACGCTATTTCCGGCGTGGAGGAGGCGTCTGCAGCTTCCTATTGGCTGCAGGAGCTTCCTGCAGCCGATAGAAAGCCCCGCCAGTGCTGTGGAAGTGAATCCACGAGCCGCGCTGCGCCGGTTTAGCGCAGTGTGCGGGGACTTGCCGAGCGGGCCTTAGTTTGCCGACCTCTGCACTAAATGAAAACATAAGTGCATTTTTATTATTAATTTCACAATGAGCTCATTAGTGTGGTTCACCCAACACCTGGTCTAGCCAGCCTGAACCTACGAGTCAAAGTTGGGGTGAGGGTTCAGGACAGGGTCTCCAAATCTGAGTCACGTCGCAACGGGACTAGTCTGTTCAGGGTCTGTTTGTGTGCTGTGCCATAATTGGGAACTCTGTCCTTGTCGGGTAGGACCTAGGCTCAAAATGGGCCGCCTATTTTCTCGGTTCACATTAATCACAAGCTGATCTTGCAGCTGGCAGGCGTCCTTTGTGCGGCCCGTCCCAGGGTACGGGAACTCTGAGAAGCAGCCGTGTAATGGCTTGGCGGCATTGTTCCCCGGAAGCTGGCGACATCCCTGGAACGACACACTTTGCTTTCATCGGAATCAGCATGCTTCTGCCAAGTTGAGGGGACGAGCCTGGCTGCAAATGCTCCCTCTCTCTCTTCCTTGGCTCAGGGCAAAGGCATCTGTGGCCGCCTAGCAAAATGCAGGCATTTCGGGAATGCATTTTATAGCTTCAGAGGCATGGCTGGCAGTGTGCCTGACAAGCAGCCTGTTGCTCCAGCCAGAAGAACTGAGCTATAGGATGGCCCAGCTGTTGATTTAGCCAGCACAGCTTGCTTGTTAGAGCACACAGGAAGTTTTTGTCCTGGGAAAGGTGGCTTGGCCATTCCTGAAATTCGCGATGGTGAATCTGATATGAGGAAGCGATTCCTGCAGGTCCTAGATTCCATTTTCTTAAGTTTAGGTAGGAGAAGAGGGGCCATAGCTTGGTCGCAGAGCATATCATTGCATGCAAGAGGTCCCAGGTTCCTCTCCACTCTAGTTACAAGGTTGTCAATATCCGGGCTGAGTATAGGAAGGAAGACGGATTTAATCTTAAACTACTCTGGAAACAAGGACCTCAACCTAGTCATCGTTTCAGCACTGGCAAAGACATGTTTATTTTGTTGGGATTTGGGGCAGCAGCAATGATAGTACAGTAAGCACATTTAACTTGTGTGCATTCAGCTTTATGAACATGGCAAAAAAATATGATTAAAATTTAAAAAGGGATGGAGTCCTGGGAAAAATGACTTGAGCAGTCACACCTGCCATTGAACCCAGTGGCTTTTGAGTATATAATATTTTGGCTTCAATTCCCGGACCATAACCCCCTCGTAAATTGTGGGATTACTGTACATTATATTGTCAAACCAGTTTTTGTAATTTTGTATTTCTTTCCTTGCTTGCAAATCACTTCAGAACTTTTTAGTGGGAAGCAATATGCAACTTTAACGAACCTAATCTTAACTGCTGTGGCGTGAAGGCCTCCCCTGTTCTCTTATGATGGCAATGGTGCCCACCTCAGAGGTGCCGGAACTGAGTTCTCGTGAATTCTGGTTGAAAAAAGGCCCTGACCCTATCCTGCCATTTCCCTCTTGTTTCCAAAAGGAACTACGGCTCCTCTATCTATGCCCAGCGGGAAGCCATGGAATTAGGCTGCCAGCAGGTTCTCTGGCTGTACGGAGACGACCATCAGATTACAGAAGTCGGGACCATGAATCTCTTCCTGTACTGGCGAAATGAAGATGGAGGTACAGTGGCCAGCCATGTTTAACCAACACCATATGTTTTCCCTCAGCCCTGACAGGCATCGTTGTGGCAAATAAAATGGCCGCCTGGTCCTTGAGCCTCAAGTGCTGTGTCATCTGCCTGTTTGGGCCATGAAGTTTCCTCTGAAGCAAAGCAGTTTCAGGAATGTTTTAGGGGAGCAGCAGTGTTAGTATAGGTCAGCCGTCTCTATCCTGTTGGCCTCCTGCCACTTTGAGCTATTAGCGCTCACCAGCCGCAGCAAGTACTGGTACAGTAAGTTAAAAATACTTAATTCTCCCCTGTGCCGTTTCCCTTTGAGCCTGAATAAAGGTTTTCGGGGACGTCAGTGCAGAGCTTGTTTGTACTGGCAGAAGTGGAACCAAACGCCTTTGGCTCCCCAAAGCACATGTGGAGTGTGAACGGCTGCTGCCCACATTTTAGCAGTGAGGAGCAAACGAAGCCATATGGGGAACTGGTTTGGCTGCAGATCACAGGGAAACCGAGCGCTCTTTGGCTGACCAGCCAACACACATTGCCACCTTCTCAGGCTGGTACCAAAGGAAGCAGATGTTGCTCCAGTCAGAGCTAGGCTGGTGGGCATGGTTTGCTCAGTCAGTGAGGGGTTTTTTAACGGTTCACGGGCTCCCTGCTCTCTGGCAGCTGGCCTGGCGAGGCATCGAAATAGCACAAGCCCCTTGAAAGCTCGTTTGCAGCTTTGGCTGCATGGCAAAGCAGGGGATCTCAGTGTGGGCATCAAGCAAAGGAGGCAAGATAACCAGGTCCTTTTTTTCTCCAGAGAGAGAACGCACCACAGATAGGAAACCTATAGTCTTTGAGATATTCCTGGACTACAACTCCCATCGTTCATGACCATTGGCCATGCTGGCTGGGGCTGATGGGAGCTGGGAGTCCAGCATCACCTGGAAGGCCACAGGTTCCCTACCCCTGGAGTACACCAAGGCCTGTGTTGCATATAGCACTAAACTCACCTCCAGGCTTGACTACTGTAATTCGCTCTACGCGGGGCTGCCCTTGAAGCTGTCCCAGAAACTCCAGCGGGTGCAGAATGCTGCAGCGAGGCTCCTCATGGGGTTTCTGCCATGGGAGCATATTCACCCAGTGCTTTTCCAGCTGCACTGGCTCCCGGTGGCATACAGGGTCAGATTTAAGGTGCTGGTTTTGACCTTTAAAGCCCTTCATGGTCTAGGACCCCATACCTATGGGACCGCCTCTCCCGTTATGCCCCACGGAGAGCCTCAAGGTCCATAAATAGCAACACCCTAGTGGTCATAAGGAAGTTAGATTGGCTTCAACCAGAGCCAGGGCCTTTTCAACACTGGCTCCGGCCTGGTGGAACGCTCTGCCTCATGAGACCAGGGCCCTGCAGGATCTGATTTCTTTCCACAGGGCCTGTAAGACAGAGTTGTTCCTCCTGGCCTTTGGTGTGGAGCCAATTTGATTCCCTCCCCCTCTTTCTTTTTTCTTTTTCCTTTTTCCTCCTGTGATGAGGCTGCATTTTAATATTTTATTGTTTCAATATTTTAATGTTGTATTTTAATCTTGTTTTTAAGTTGCATTCATTCAACTTGTTTTTATTATTGCTTGTTAGCTGCCCTGAGCCCAGCCTTGGCTGGGGAGGGTGGGGTATAAATAAAATTATTATTATTATTATTATTATTATTATTATTATTATTATTAAACCATAGCACGGTGAGAAATTACTTTCCGCATGCCTAAGGTCCATTAATTGCAGCGCCTGACCTTAACTATGGTTTGTGGTCCTTCAAACAATCCATAGGTAATATTTGGTTTGAGGCTTGGGTAGCACTTAAAAGTGGTTAATGGAAATTGGAAGTGAAAGCAGCCACATCAGAGAAGGAGGGGGGAAGGAAGCAGCAAATGAGCTTGAGACTCCCTGTGTGTGTTCCGCAGGCGGCGGCTGCATCTGTTGCCGAAATATTATTCCGAGATTTTAAGTACTTCCTGCAAGGTGTTTCCATTTCCATTGTGCACACTTTCTAGATCACTTTCACAGCGCATAGGCAAGAGTTTGGGAACTGAAGCACCAGGGCCCAATGGGGCTTTCCAGACCTCACTGTCTGGCTATTGGAATTCTTCCTAGGCCACACCCCCTTCTCTGGCCACACCCATTTCCCCAAGCCACTGTTAGAATTCCTGCTCCATGATTACAGTCATGGGATTGTTGTCTTGAACATGATGGTATATGTTTTGACTCCACAGTGTGGGAAGTGACGGAGACAGGATGTTTGTGTTACTGTGTTCCGTGAAGTGGGACTATTGTCCTTTGTTTTTCCTCTTTGCTGTCTGATGCTAGAGAGAGGGAGCCATGTTGCAGTGCTCTGTGTGTGTTTATATGTAAATAAAGTAGATTAGCCAAAATGCAGAGTTGCTGAGGTCTGTCACACAAGCTGTGAAGACTCTGCGGATCCCTAAGTGTGCCGATGTCTGTTGGCATCGGTCACTGTGATGTTTGGGCACAAGAAAGCCTTTGAAGCTGTCAAACGATCGGCCAGGAGGGAGAGAAGATGCTAGTCGGGCATGTTCCCTTGAGGTTCCTACTCGAGTGTAGGACGAGCTCCTGACAGCCACAGCCCTCCATTTCTCTGCTCCATTCCATCCTCAAGTGTTGTTGTCTGACTGGAGTGTGTCCTTAGTGTTAAGGTCAGGGTTTAGGGTGATAATTTAACCTGGACTTTGACGTGTGATGTGTGTCTTTTCAGGACTCACCCTATTCATTTGATTGTAATGTGTTTTTAACCATTTTTATTCTCAATTTTAATTTGCTGTAATCTTCCCTGGCACCTGCTGGTGATGGGCAAGTAAAAAAATCAAAGATTGCTTGTTTGGATAGAGTATGAAGAGATGTGTGTGCATTTAAAAAAAAAATGTTTTCAGGCTCGAGGATAGCAATGGCAGTAAACAGAAAAAAAGATATCAAAAGCATAGAAAAGAAATACAAAATATAATTTTTAACCACAAAGCTATAATGGAGGTGATTCAAATGATATACAGTGGTGCCTTGGTACTCGAACGGCTTGGCTCTCAAGCAAATTGGCTCCCGAGTGCTGCAAACCCAGAAGTGAGTGTTCTTATCTAGTTCTTACAATATGGTTGTAAGTGAACTCTTAATCATCTGTAGCTGATGAAGACAGAACCCCTACCACATCCTTCTTGCTTTTGAATGATAATGGTGCTGGAGGAGACTCTTGAGAGTCCCATGGACTGCAAGAAGATCAAACCTATCCATTCTGAAGGAAATCAGCCCTGAGTGCTCACTGGAAGGACAGATCCTGAAGCTGAGGCTTCAGTACTTTGGCCACCTCATGAGAAGAGAAGACTCCCTGGAAAAGACCCTGATGTTGGGAAAGATTGAGGGCACAAGGAGAAGGGAACGACAGAGGACGAGATGGTTGGACAGTGTTCTCGAAGCTACCAGTATGAGTTTGACCAAACTGCGGGAGGCAGTGGAAGACAGGAGTGCCTGGCGTGCTCTGGTCCATGGGGTCACGAAGAGTCGGACACGACTAAACAACAACAGAAACGAGAGTCACATCCATTGCTCTGCCCACTTATACACCTGACCCCACCAGCTGGCATGCACCCCCCCCAAGTTGTGCATGAAGTGAATGCTGCCCTCCAGAAGAAAGAGAATATTTCTCACCACTGTTTTAGGCCACCTGATTTCTGCGCTGTCCCCTCCAGAGCAGCGCTTATCTGCACAATGGTGAATTTTAATCAGGACATGGTGAAAACGCAGCCCACAGCTTCGCTTGCAAGGAAAAAGAAAGAGGTTTTCAACTCCGTAAGTGATAAAACGAGACTCTGCACTTTAATGTTCTTCCTCTTTAATCTGACATTGGTGATCTCTCCTTTAATGAAAGATAAGTGAGCTTCTTATTTAGCCAAAGCTTGTAGATTGGCTTTCAAGTCGCTTCGTTGTTCTGATTCTCCGCATGATTGCCTGAACAAATTGCACGATAAAGGAAGTTGGTGGAAGCTTTTGATCTGGGAATCGCAGGGTGGAAACAAGGTCCATACCTAGCAAATCTTCCTTGGCCAAGAAAACTTAATAGCGGCATCGACGCTGGCTTGGTCATGTTGGTAGAATGGAAGATGGCAGGATTCCCAAGGACATGCTCTATGGCATCCTTTCTCAACCCGTGGGTCCCCAGATGATGTTGAACTACAACTCCCATCACCCCTAGCTAGCAAGACCAGAGCTCAGGGATGATGGGAGTTGTAGTCCAGTAGTCCGGCCTCAGGCCAGTATACCTGAAGGAGCGTCTCCACCTCCATCGTTCTGCCCGGACACTGAGGGCCAGCGCCGAGGGCCTTCTGGCTGTTCCCTCACTGCGAGAAGCTAAGTTACAGGGAACCAGGCAGAGGGCCTTCTCGGTGGTGGCACCCACCCTGTGGAACGCCCTCCCACCTGGTGTCAAAGAGAAAATCAACTACCAGACTTTTAGAAGACATCTGAAGGCAGCCCTGTTTAGGGAAGCTTTTAATGTTTAATAGGTTATTGTATTTTAGTGTTTTATTGGAAGCCGCCCAGGGTGACTGGGGAAACCCAGCCAGATGGGCGGGGTATAAATAATAAATTATTATTATTATTATTAGTCCCAACATCTGGGGAACCACAGGTTGAGAAAGGCTGCTCTATGGGGAGCTGGCTTCAGGCACCAGGCCCGTTGGCAGACCAACTCGGTTTTACAAAGATGTCTGCAAAAGTGACATGAAGGCCAGCAACATCAAGGAATCCCTTTCAGATGACCGCAGTGACTGGAGACAGACAGACAGGTCCTGTATCTATAGCAGTGAGCAGAGGAGAAATGGCTGCTGGGAGGAGCGCAGAGAGAAGTAACGCCATGGGGCACCTGAAGAAGCACAACCGGACACCTTCCTCTGCCCCAGCTGCAACAAAACATGTCTCTCCCATATTGGTCTGTACAGCCACAGCAGGCCCTATAACCTTCCAACAGTTTGACTTCACCCCCAAAGGCACACTCCTCCATTGTCTCCCGAGACAGACAGATGCCAACGACAACAATCTCCCAGCCTCTCTGGGGGTTGGCAAAATTGCCAAAGTTGTCAGTGTGAGAAGCTTCCCACGCCTCCAAGCTGTGGGAGCACTCAGGGGCTTGTGATTTGAAGGCCCCACTTACAGAAACTAGTATTTGTATTAGTCTGTTGCAGCAGCTGGGGAATCGGTGTCTTCACTTGTTTCAGTGACCTCGTGACCACCCTCAACCACATGGTTCCAACTTGGTCACGTATATACTGGACTGGACCTCTTTCAGGCAGAGGGCCGCATTGCTTTCAAGGCAGCCTTCCAGGGGCCACATAGCAGTGGCCAGCAGGGCCTTAGGCAGAATTGGGCTAAGCAATGAATAAGAATGCTATCTCTGTACAGTATTCTGGGGTGAATGTAAACAGAGGGGGAAAGCACTACATATAAGTCAGTACAGTGGTACCTCAGGTACCACGGAGGTCCGTTCTTAACCTGAAACTGTTCTTAACCTGAAGCACCACTTTAGCTAATGGGGCCTCCCGCTGCCGCCGCACCACTGCCACGCAATTTCTGTTCTCATCCTGAGGTAAAGTTCTTAACCTGAGGTACTGCTTCCAGGTTAGCAGAGTCTGTAACCTGAAGTGTCTGTAACTGAAGTGTCTGTAACCTGAGGTACCACTGTAATCAGACCATTATTACAAAAGAAAAAACCTCTATGGAAAATCGCGTTTAAAAATTTCCTGCTCTCTGGCGCCATCTGGTGTTGCATGTTCATAGCGTATTCAAATCTCTGATTCTTTACTAACGTAGCTGAGTCCTTAGTTTCTACACACGGCATATGACCTCTCTCTGTACTCCATCCAGACAAGCAGATGACATCACAGTCCAGGGACCAATTCCAGCCAGGTGAAAATGCCAAAGAAGGAAGTGCAGCCAGGCCACTGAGGAGCGAGGCCTGGGAAGAGTCTCAAGGGTCGGACAAAGAAGCTGGGGGGGGGGCATATTTGGCCCTGAGCCTGAGGTTCTCCCCTACTGCTACATGCTCTCTTGGGCAAAGGGAGGTGGGCTTAAAGGGGACTGAGCCAAGTGTATGTAAGATGGTCGTTCATGTTTAACTGTAAGGAATCACCCCAGGGATATGAACTGGGTTTTTTTGGGGGGAGGGGTATTGGTTTATGTGTGTGTTCTTGTATCTATTGTGATTTTGTCTTGTATTTTATGTTATGAACCACCCTGAGATCTGCGGGTGAAGTTGTGGTATACAAATTTATTAAACAGCAATAATAAATCCTCAGAAATCTAGGAGAAAGGTGGATTGGGGTCAGATTCTGCTTGACAAACCAAGGATTTCATGGTACAGTGGTACCTTGCAAGACGAATGCCTCGCAAGACGGAAAACTCGCAAGACGAAAGGGTTTTTTGAGCTGCTTCGCAAGACGATTTTCCCTATGGGCTTGCTTCGCAAGACGGAAACGTCTTGCAAGTTTGTTTCCTTTTTCTTAAAACCGTTAATACAGTTGTGACTTGACTTCAAGGAGCAACTCATAGCACGCGGTGTGGTAGCCTTTTTTGAGGTTTTTGAAGACTTTGGTGATTTTTGAAGCTTTTCCAAAACTTTCCCGACACCGTGCTTCGCAAGACGAAAAAATCGCAAGACGAAAAAACTTGCGGAACGAATTAATTTCGTCTTGCGAGGCACCACTGTATCACCCATCCATGCCAGAAGTCAAAATGTTTCCTCCTTCCCAATGTCTTTTTTTCCATTGTCATTTTTTAAAAAACAGCAACACACACCTCAGTATAGAGTTGGAAAGGACCCTGAAGATCTAGCCTAACCTCTGCAACGCAGGAATACGCAGCTGTCTCAGACAGGGATTGAACCTGTAATCTTGGAATTATTAGCACCACGCTCTAACTAACTGAGCTATCCAGTCATGCTTGGGCACTTGTTTGATTCAATGCTGATCTACCGTGTTTTGTATTGACAGAAGAGGAGCTGGCGACCCCACCCCTAGACGGCATCATTCTTCCTGGTGTGACAAGACAGAGCATTTTGGATTTGGCGAGCAAGTGGGTAGGTGTCTGCTGTGTCTTTTGCTTCCAGGTTTTGACACCTATATAATAATAATAATAATAATAATAATAATAATAATAATAATAATATAATAAATTTATTTATACCTCGCCCTTCCCGGTTCAGAAAACCAGGCTCAGAGCGGCTAACAACAAATTTTAAACACTTAATTGATGCAACAAAAAACAGCATAAAATACAGTATAAAACGTGAATAACAATAAATTCAGAATTCAACAATCAATTTAGGGGGGAAATCCATCCAATCAACATTAGATGATCACCAGGGCTGCCTAGCTAAATTAGTCCTATTTGGGCCAGTGAGGAGACCAGGGGAGAATTAGCTGTGGGATCCCAGAGCGGGTAATCTTCATAAAAAGGGGAGGGGGAGGGAAGGAAGGGGAATAAAAGATCAGGCTAAGTTCAAGTTGAAAGCCAGGCGGAATAGCTCTGTCTTACAGGCCCTGTGGAAGGAGGTTAAATCCTGCAGGGCCCTGGTCTCATGGGACAGAGCATTCCACCAGGTCGGAGCCATCACTGAGAAGGCCCTGGCCCTGGTGGAGGATAATCTGACTTCCTTAGGGCCCAGGACCTCTAAACTATGATTATTCATGGACCTTAAGGTCCTCTGCGAGGCATACCAGGAGAGGCGGTCCCGTAAATACGAAGGCCCTAAGCCACAAAGGGCTTTAAAGCTCAAAATTAAATGGAAAACTAATAAAAAATATTTTTTTAAAAAAACAAGTTTACAGTTCTGCATCTATCCACAAGGCTGGGCTAGAGATGAGCTCCTCAGCCGGGGCTCTCTGCCTTTCTTATGTTTTACTGGGCTTGGAAGCAACTAGTAGGACTTGCCTCACATGCATTGAAGCTTTCATTTGCCTGCCAGCACCTTGCAGCAAGACTTTCACTCCGGTCTGGCTCTCGTTGTGCAATGCGCATCGTTATCTGACTTCCTTAGGCCCGGGATCTCTAAACTATGATTATTCATGGACCTTAAGGTCCTGTGCGGGGCATACCAGGAGAGGCGGTCCCATAAATACGAGGGCCCTAAGCCACAAAATAGTGGCCAGTAGTAGTTGTCAGTCTCTTAGGCCAGGCTCCCATTTCCCCCAAGCCTCCAGCACTGAAATCATGCTTGGGAAGATTAACTCCTGCCTCCCCAGTTACGGATTTCCAGGAAGATCACCCCCTGCTTTAGGCTTAGGGTGGGGAGCAAAAAGACTTTTTTTCAAGTCTGGATGCCAGAGGCAAAGAGGGGAATTGGTGTGTGTGTGTGTGTGCGTGTGTGTGCAATTGCAGCATGTCCGTGGTACCTGCAGCACTTTCCCCCCAGTTTGCAAATGTGGTGACCTCTGTTCTGAGCCGTTCTGCAAACTCAGGGAACATCTTCCGAGCTGCTGCTCAAGCTATAAGCTGTGATCCGTTTGGTGAGCAGAAGGGAGACTGCATTGCTCTCTTGCTTCCAGCGAGCAACCAAACGCTACAACAGCACAATCCCTATCAAGCTGGCCTGTAAGATTTCATGGGCGCTTTCTCATCTGGATAAGGAATTAATTAGGGGTACCTGTGGAATTTCCAACAGGTGCATTTTGGAGCCCTTCTCTATAAATAACCCTCATTAAGCGTCCATTGGGAAGCACTGTGCCATGTTTCTATAAGTCAGCTATTTGCTTTTTCAGCAAAGGAAATGGATCTTCGTAATTTAATAATGCTTTCCTTGGCTCCTCCCCATTCTACCTTGTCACAGGGAGAATTCAAGGTGTCAGAGCGATACGTCACCATGAGCGACCTGATAGCTGCTTTGAAGGAAAATCGAGTGAAGGAGATGTTTGGTGCTGGGACGGCTTGCGTCGTGTGCCCCATTTCTACAATATTATACCTTGGCGAGGTGAGGGCGAGCCTTCTCTTTTTCAGCTTCGCAAAGCAGGATTGTTGACCATGCGTCAGGGATTTCCCAAGGAGATCCGTAAAGGAATTGTAGTTGGTCTTATATTTTACTTTTCACCATCTAGCTCTCAAACTGGCTTCCTTATGGAACTTTGGAAGAACTTTAGTAAAACAGCTCAGATGGGAGGCCCTGTTTCCTAACTTAGAATCTCACTGACCAGTAGGGATGTTAAGAAGGCATCATTTACGATTCCCGCATTGGACTAGAATAGATCACCCTCATGGTCCCTTTCAACTCTACAATCTTATGATCCCATGATCTGTTCTGCCCTCTACATGCATAGCTGTCAACTTTTCCCTTTTCTTGCGAGGAATCCTATTCGGAATAAGGGAATTTCTCTTTTAAAAAGGGAAACGTTGACAGCTATGCTGTACACGTGGCACGCAACACTGCTTCCACACTGTTGCAGTTCATCTTCTGCCAAAAACAACGCTCTTCGTCTTGCTGTGGCAAAGTTACGTAACTTTTGACACATGTTGCGCTGAGGGTTATCAGGAAGTCAGCCCTAGGGCTGTTTCCGAAGTTGTCCCATGCCAGCGAGCTGGTGTCCTCAGCTTCTTAAGACTCGAGATTACCTTTTTGTACCTTTTGGCTTGTGTTGATAATTTAAATAAATAAACAAACAAACCTCCTTGGGCACCTTGGAAGAAAGGTGGCATATAAATGCGATAGACGTATAAATAAATAAGTCTCTCGCTATCCGAAAATTCTCCCTGGAGTACAGCCCTTTGCGTGGGCTGTGGTTCCACCTGGTGGTCAAAGGCAGGAAATGCACCTTCAAGTCAAGGAAGTAGGCATTGTCGGAGTCACAGAATGCAGTGTGAGATAGTAAGTCTGCAGGCTTGAGTTTGCTACCTGATGCAACTGCAATACTTTCAATGGAAGTTCTGGGTCAGAAAGACTCAGCAGTAATGTGCTGTCAGTTGATTGGCTGTCATCGGTTTAAAAGGGAAACCTGACCAGCAATAAGGGGTGTTGTAGAGGAGTGTGGTCAGAGAGAGAGAGTTAGAGATCTTCCTATTTGCTTTAAGGTGCAGCCAGGTACTCTGTTTGACTGTATGAACTGCTCATGTATTATAGCCTGTAGATATTTGTTTATGTAGCTCACAATAAATAAACAGTGGTACCTCAGGTTAAGTACTTAATTTGTTCTGGAGGTCCATTCTTAACCTGAGACTGTTCTTAACCTGAAGCACCACTTTAGCTAATGGGGCCTCACACTGTTCTCATCCTGAAGCAAAGTTCTTAACCCGAGGTACTATTTCTGGGTTAGCGGAGTCTGTAACCTGAAGTGTATGTAACCCGAGGTACCACTGTACTGCACTGAAGAACCTGGAACTCTGAGCATTTCTGCTAAAGCGCTGCAAAGAATTTGCAACAAGCATGGCTTAGTTGTCCTAAACCCCAGTCCGTTTCCTGCCTTCATCCCGGACGGTCTTGGTTTTGTCTTGGTTTTCTGATTTTAGAACATAGAATCATAGAGTTGGAAGAGACTTTGAGGATCTTCTCGTCCAACCCGCTGCAATGCAAGAATATGCAGGGGATCGAACCTGCAACCTTGGCACTATCCATCCCTTTTTAGTTGCAAAACCTCTCACAATTATGTCCTCTTGTTTATGGAGTTAACTTCCCTTCTCTTACCAATGAATTCCCCACGTGCCTTGCAATCGGTTCCCTCTTCAGGGATGGTTTGTGTGTTTGGTACACACTCCTGCAGGGTTCTCCTGCCTTCAAAGCCAACTGCTGCCAGTCATACGTTGAGCCTCTCTGTGCCTCCTCCAGCTACACCCTCCCCCTTATATCAGCAGGAGAGGACGGATCACGTGCATGCGTCGGCCAGCGTCTACTCACAAGTCTCTCTTTCCCCCTTAGCATTTGCACATTCCAACCATGGAAAACGGACCTCAACTAGCTACTCGTTTCTTGAACCAGCTGAGTGATATCCAAGTAAGAGTCGCGTTTATTTTCTACATCAACAATGGAAGGGAGGGATGGCTGAGTAGTTCCTTTCATGTCTAACATCCCAGTTGCAATAATGTGGAAGTTAGGTCCAGCAATATCCATGGAGCGGATTCAGATATGCTGTTTGCAATGTGGTGCAGTCTTCTTGCACAAATACACCATCTCAAAATGTGTATTTGGGAAGATTCTTCACTTTAAGGGCTCATTCATCATCCGCATGTGGAAAACTACCATGTGAGAGAGATGGCATGGCAGGAGGTCTCTTTCCTGACGGGATCGCTTTCCTTGCACAGGGAGTGACAGCTCTCCGTGTGCAGAAAGATTTTGATATAAGCATTCCTTCAGACAAAGTGTTCTCTCCTCCCCCTACCCCCTTTCTGAACTGGTATGGTCTTTTGAGGTCAGTGACGTAGCATGGGTTGTCAGTGCCCGGGGCTGTGCAGAAGGGATGGGTCGCTGGGAGGGAAACAGACGGAGTATGCAGGCGCATTCAACTGCCTGATGGCATCTGTGTCACCCAGGAGATCTCAGCCAAAAAATAAATAAGAAAAGAGTCCTTCCATGTTCTGGAGAGGTCACTGTCCACTAGGGCTGTTTGGAGCTGGAGTCTTAACAACCTCGGGGGGGGGGATAGGTTCCTTGTCTCTGTTTCAAGATTAGGGCCATATTTAAACATGATAGTGAACATGCAAGCAAAAACCCAAACAGTGTTCTAAGCGCCTGGTGCTTGCCAACACAATTTTTTATTTGGAGGGGTGGTATTTTCCTCCCTGAGCTCAACCAGGCAACAACCAGGCAGAGAGCTTCCACAATTGCCGTCACCCCTAACGCCTTCAACAGCCACCGATGCCCAGAGTTTTAAGAGCTCTAATGTCAGTTTCCAGGATACAAGCCATGTACTGGTGGGTATATGAGCCTGGCTATACGAGCAGCATCCCCATTCTGCGTCTTAACTTTGACTTCTGTGTCAAGAGCTTCTGTGGAAGAACAAACTCCATTTGGACAAGTCCTCCTGGTTAAGTTCCTCTTGACCATTCGCATCACACAACTTTGTGTGGTGGTACAGTAAAGGTAAAGGGACCCCTGACCATTAGGTCCAGTCATGACCGACTGGGGTTGTGGCGCTCATCTTGCTTTATAGGCCGAGGGAGCCGGCGTACAGTCATGTGGGCAGCATGACTAAGCCGCTTCTGGCAAACCAGAGCAGCGCACGGAAACGCCATTTACCTTGCCGCCAGAGTGGTACCTATTTATCTACTTGCACTTTGACATGCTTTCGAACTGCTAGGTTGGCAGGAGCAGGAACCGAGCAACGGGAGCTCACCCTGTCCAGGGGAATCGAACCGCCGACCTTCTGATCGGCAAGTCGTAGGCTCTGTGGTTTAACCCACATCGCCACCCGCGTCCCTGTGTGGTGGTAGTGTTTTTTAAAAGAGGCACGTAAGCAACCCAGAGGGTTACGATCAACTACCAACCATCATTTCCACGTTGCTATTTCTCCCATGAAGCAACAAAATGAGATAAAATCCAGAGATCTGCTCAACAACTCTACCATACGTTATTCTTAGATTCGGTTCCACAATTATTATTTTTTGCATTTTCGGTCTATTTAGTAGTGGTGGTTGTTAGGAGCTTGGCCGCGCTGTGAATCTGTTCTGTGTGCTTAACATGAGTCTGTTTCACATGTTCCTTATGTGCCATTGTTGAATCATGTTGTATTAATTACCTTTGTTGCCTCTTAACGCTACTGATGTGTCCCATTGGCTGTGGTTTCCCTGCTGTTTGGGGACCCTCTCTACTTAACCCTTGTGCCGTGCTGATGATTATAACTCTCTTTGCTTCTGTTTCAGTACGGAAGGGAAGACAGCGAGTGGGCCGTCATCGTGTCGTGAGCGGGGAAGAGCGGCGAAGGCCCAGACCTTCGGTCCACTTCACAAGGCAGGCTGAAGTACCACCTGAGCGATGACCAGTTTTACCGTAGCTCCGTGTAGAGTAGTCTGTGTGTTTATCACTTTGTCCCTGGGCTGGGAGGGTGATTATTTCCACGTGACAGGGAGTGTGAACACAAACCGTTTTTGATTTTTCTACTGTGGTTTTTTGCTCTAGAGTAGAAACCTGTCTTCTGGTAGAGGTGCTAGTGTAAGCAATAGACACTCCCCCCCCCCGAACGGTTTGCTTTGTTTCGCTTGTGTCCCTGGTACAGTCGACAGGTGTGTTTTTAAAGCAAAAATGTTCTTCAACTGCTCTTCAGTGCAAGCCAAATACAACTTTACTTAACTTCTAAAGCACAGACTAGGCTGTTCCATGCAACCCAATTGCCAAATTACTCAGAGAAACCCTTTGTTGTCTCTGGAGTCTTCTCTTTGTTTCCAGCCTTGGAAGATCACAACATTGATCTTCAAGATAGAGATGTATCTTGCCTTCATTTTTGGGGGGTGGGGTGTTGTGAAACATTTCCCCTCGACTCAGTGGGATCTCCTTTAGTATGTTTCCTACTTCTTTGTGTTGGTCACCAAAGCCATGCCTCATAGCTGTGGATCCTTCTAAGAAAGAATAGGATCAGATTTTCCTTTGGTGCCCAATGACACCATACCTTGAGTGGATTCAGATGACCTCTTTTATTCTCCCTCACTGAAAGTGATTTCCACAGTCATCGACACCGGCCCTACCGTTAGGCATCTTGAGGCAGCTGCCTCAAGCTGCAGGTGCTGGCAAAGTGTTGTCTCTGTGTGCAGTTTCCTTACTAGTAGGGAAGTCACATTCAGCTGACAGTTTGTCTGCAAGGGAAGGTGGGCAGGATCTTGCCCTTCACCTCAGGCAGCAAAATGTCTTGGGCCATCTCTGTGAAGTATTGTGTGGAACTAAACTGTTGGGTGGAGCAAGGTTCCACTGCGCAATAGCTTCCCTATCCATTACAATTTTGAGCCAGTTACCAGATAATGTGGCTATCACACAGCCCAACAAACATTAAAATCCCTTTGGGCGTTCCAGTTCTGTGTAGTTTCTGCAACAGCTTGTCCCTGGAAGCAAGTGGCTGCGGAGTCCCATAATTCATTCCACCATCTGGTTCCCCTCCTCACCTGTAACACTGCCAAGCCAGACAAGTTGAAGAGGGAAGCTGCTCATCTGACTACAGCCTTAGTCAACTGGAAGAGCCAACAAGGCGCTGTCTCAAGCATCCTGAGATGTTGGAAAGTCTCCAAACTTGAACCGCAAGGTCCACTGACCAGAGGTCGTTGCAACGTAGGGGCAGATGCACAATGGTGGCTCAGCAGCTCACCATCTTCTGTACCCCATGAGCCAAATCTGATCTACCACAGGTCGGGGATTCTAGTTTAGAATGCGAAGCCATTTGGTTCCTGCCTCTCTTAGAACAATTGGGAGACAGAAACACTTGTAGATCCCGGTCTGCTTTCTGACCATCCTGATCGAGACCATGCTGCCATCATCTCTAACATCTAACGGGCCTTTTAGAGCTGGGAGATGCAGGAGACTGAAAGAGAAATGGTTCACCTTCTGCTTTTGCACCACCCCTTCCTCTCTTTTTACACCCCTCTCCACTTCTCCTTCTCCTGCATCTCTCCAGTACTGTCCGTATGTTCATGGCTCTGAAATTCGGATGCTTCCACCGAAATGTGGAATGTGCATGGCGGACTCAGCGCTGCAAGTTTGTGCAACCTCCACACAATGACATCCTCATTAAAACGCCCTTCCATCTCACCACTCCCCCCGATCCAAATGCAATCCACATTTGCCGTTTTTGTTGGGCATTTCCCATGCAAACTTTCAGTGAGGATTAAACGGGAAAACAATATGAGACAGTGAGGATGAAATCATGTAGCTAGCAGCACAGAGTCTGCAGCAAACTGCCTTGCAGAGGTGCCCCTAATAGCTTTGGTTGCTTTTTTTCCTGCACCCCACAATGAATTTTCCATCTGAAAAATGAGATTTTCCCCCCTCCTTTCTCACCCCTCCCTGAGTTAGCTTTAAGACATCTCTTGCCAAATCGGTTACTTATTACAGTGTTAGGGATGCTCAAATTTTGCCATCCGGTTATCTGCTGAGCTAACATTAGCATAGTTTCACAGGGCAGCAATTGAATGGTGCAGGTAAGATAGCCAATAAAATAGTACAGAGAACTATTGCACTAATGCAGTGCTTTGGAAACTAAACTCTGCAATCCTATACCTGGTAAGTGTACATAGGACTGCAGCCTAATAAGTATATATATATATGTATATTTTCCTATAAAGGGTAAGGGTGAAATTTTGGAAAACTTTTAAACTCTGCCACTTTTTTAACAGCCTACCTCTAACTGGTGATTTGATAAACACCTGGAAATATGCCCTGTATCTCTCCCCTTTCTGGTCTTATCACCACCTAAAACATTCAGCAAAAGCACAGGACACAGTATTCCCTGGACTGTACCACTTTGGAATACAGGTGGCGGCAGGGAGACGGCTTGCTTAAATCCCACCCAGTGTCAGCAGTTACCTGAACAGTCTAGCACCAACCAAAAGTGAGAAGAGTTCTAGCGCAGACTTCTCCCTGACATGCTAGCTTTATGTCCAAGAGTTGTTCTTTTTTTTAAATGCCAGGGAGCATTCAGGGCTTGCAGCCTGAAGTGATACGCTTCGAGCAGCACTATACCAAGTGCTTTTAAAAGAAGTTTAAATGAGTTTGTAAGTAAAATCCCGTAAGTGGATTAGGTTGTTCAGCTGCTAGTTACAACTCCTAGGTAACAGTGAGCTTCTGTTCCCATGACTGCAGTGGGACTCTCTGTCCCCCTGACATCTCAATTGAAGTAAAAATGTCCTGTTGTATCTGTGGTGATAAGTTTGCATACATTAACCTTTCTCTGCAAAAGTGCAAACCCAGGGAGGCCCAGGGCCACTCAAACGGAGAACAAAATATTTTGTTTGACTTTGCTCTCTGTTGGTGAGCAAGGGACTACCTATTTCTGGAGAGGGTTTTTTTTCCTATCTGTTTTTCTATCTGCAAGGTTTTTGGGTCTTTTTAAAAGCCACTTTATTGAAGACCAGTTGAAGTTGATAGTGCCAGACCGTGTTCTCTTTAAAATACACATGTTAAGCACAAGCTCTTGTGCCATCTGTGGTAGATGTAGCACAGTGTATTTCTTCTTCTTCTTGACACCTGAGTGTGTATTGTGCTCTGATCATTGTTCGGTTTTATTCCAAGTATTCCTAGCCACTGGGGTGGAGGGTCCCCAGTTCCTCTCTCGTTTGACCAATGGCCGCAGCATTTGATGGGGCGCAGCAGGAATTTTGATGTTGAGCAGAGGAATAACTTGAACAAGGCCACTGTCATAACTGTAGAGTGCCTTTTGACTAGAGAAGAGCATGTCCGCATTCAGCCTCACTAACCAAGACCAAAACTTTGCCATCTCACATATTGGGCAGAAGTGGGATCTGAGAACCCTCGTTGACGCTGCATATTCCCCTGCAAAGTGGCAGGACAGGAAGTAATTTGCAGTCGAGAAGATACGGACGAGGTTCAGGGGCCTAACCCTTTGCTCAAGCACTATTCTTCCTCTGCAGTCTCTTCTCCCCGGACTGCTTTTCTGGGGAAAAGCAGCTGGGAAGAGGAGATGGGATTGCAAGGGGCTGGAAGCAACAGTCATTGCCCATTGCTCTCTTCTGGGCCATCTTCTCTGCTGCTTTGCAAGGGTAATGTGGCGGTTTGTGCCCCCAGAGACACACACACTCACACTGTGTACCACTGAATGTGTAGCTCCAGCCCAAGATGCGTTCTCTCACAGAAATCCATCACGCTTACAAAATGCTCCACTTGGGATGTGAGCCTGAAGGAAATGCTGTTTACCTGAGGCAAGCCGGACATGCAAACCTGGGATTTGGCCAGTGTTGAGAAGCCCTCTTGAACAAGATTTTACGAGAGTGAACTCTCGCTTACTGGTTTGTGAGTGCTTCGAATGGCTCCTCCCAGTTGGATTTTGGAGACTTTCTCCCAAGTATTTACCAGCTGGTGTAGCTTGGCTTTCTCGTGAGGCCTGGCTTCCCGGCCACCTCACCCCTCTCTCCTGATAAGCATCAGCGACTCCTCTGCCCAGAAGCTAGCGTTGCAGTTCCATCCCATCCCAATAGCCGCTTCTGGCGAGTATGTAGGAGACATGCCCACTTTAAATACTTTGGAAGGGAAAGGAAATTGGCTACTTTGTGGGAAGGAGAAAGGGGTGCTCTTATCCTGAGAGACAGGGGTTTAGCTACGCTGGTATGAATCTGTGTCCAGAAGAGATAAAAAACCGAGCCAATCTCAGGTTCACGGGAGACAGAACCATTGATTTTTGCCAGAATTGTTGTGGAGCACCACACTGATGCTGATAAAATGTGTGTTAGATGCAATTGTTTCTGTATCCAGCTCTCCTCCGAGGGTGACTGAAGGAGTAGTGTAAACTGCTGTAATAATAAGAAATCGAAATAAAAGAAGTACCAAACAGGGGAGGTTTATGAAGAGGATGAATTGCTACCTGGTAGGAAGGCGAAAGACACCTTCAGTGCACTCCTGTTATACTAGATTTTTGATGAAAATGTGGCTCAGAGTTGGGCCACTTAACACATTCCACAGAAACGGCAGGGGGAGAGATTAGCTTTGCATTTCATTTCCTCCTGCCTCCCAGTGGGCTTTGCACAGCACCTGTAGTTAGAAGCAAGCACAATGAACTAATCTCATGTTACATCATCTTTGGTTTCCGACCATTGCTCCTCCCTATCTACTTCTTTTAAAACAATTATGGAGTGCCTTGAATTACCTTAATGCTTTGTTGTTGCACCCTTTCATATAGTGGGGTTGTGCTTGTTGTCAGACGTTTTTTCCCCCCTTCATTGTTTCAGAATTTTGCTTCATCCTCACCTCTTTATTTCCAGAGTTCAGAGGCGAGTGCCTTTAACGTATGTTGCCAAAATGGCGCCACCCGAGCTCAAGAGAGGAGGTATCAACAGGAGTAAGAGCTCTCCAAGGGTTGCAGGAAGATGGAAAACCTGGGGGTGGGGTGGGGACCCAAAACAGCACAGCTAGGACTAAGGGTGGTCAGTTGGCCCTAGAGTACTGACTGACTTGTGGGGAGAGAAAGGGATGGAAAGTCAGAGGGAGATGGGAAATAGAATGGCTTATCCTGGATGATGGCTTGCAGGTTCAGTGTTATGTCCTCTGCCTTTCAGAATGGCCCCCAATAATAAATTAACATTAGAAGAATGTTTCTGTGCATTTTGTAGAATAGCTGTAGAGGACATTGTTCACTGTATCACCCAGAGTCCTCTGTATAAAGATCTATTTGGAAAAAAACAACACATTTAGCCACAGGAAGAATATTGTTACATCAAATGAGTTTGTGTGCTTTTCGCAGTTAAACAAGGAAAATCACATTACCATGCGTGGTTCTGTATTTAATACAAATAGAGAGCCAAATTTGTGGCTTAACTCTCAGCTTCTTCTATCTGCCTTATGGCCTATGGCTAATCAGATAAAATTCTTACTACTGAAAAGCAGAGACATAGCATTGAACGGCCCAGAACTACTCCTTGAGAACTACATAATAGATCCATAATAGTTGTGACTATAATGTGGATTTTCTCTCTTTTTTTCCTCCCCAACCCCCAAGCTTATAAATTAATACAATATATTGTCATAAATAGATATTCACTAGGAGGGGAAGGGGTATTAAAAAAAAGCATGTCATATCAGTCAGTATTCCAGCTACACTAAAGAAATATAGAACAATTCATTTAAGAATTTGCATCGTCCATCTTCACTGCATGCAGGTTTTTAAGAATCAAAATATATGGAGAAAAGAATCAAAGTCTGTTATGTGTTCACTACATTATATTGTTATTAAATATATAATAATGTGCATTTTCATTGAGGGCAACACTAATAAACTCCCAGGGAAGTTTTGCAAGAGAAGCTCTCAAGAGAAACCTGTGTCTGTCATCAGACACAGCCTTTATACCCACTAAAAGCTAGTTTTGCTCAGTTATCGCTAAGATAACACAGCTATTTGTCTAGTATAACAGCTCTGTATTGAACATAACCAGGACGTTAGACACAATTCTCAGGCATGCACCCAAGGCCTCTCGTCTGTTGCCTCTTCAGCTGTCCCAAGCTACTCTTAAAAACAAGCAGTTGGCGTACCCATGCGGGGAAACTGCTGAACACGCTCCTGAAGATTTGTGTGCATACACGTGCGATACTGACCTCTTTGCTCTCTGCCCACAGCGTCTAACCAGAGTGCACTGCTGTGTCTTAGCCTTGTACTTACAGGAGTGTTTAGAATATCTTGGAATCATCTGTGTTAATCGGTTTTTTAAAAAAATCTGTACGAGGTTTTCCGTTGTTGTTTTTCTAGACTGTGATTGATGAAGGGTCCTGGTTTTTAAATGGTCTTTTCTTCAATGTAAAAGAGGTTTATCAGATCACACTCAAACCAGCAGAGTATTTTGATATTGCGTGACAATCCTATAAAAAAAATAAAACAAAAGCTATACCTTCTCTTGTCTGTATTTTCAGTGTTTCCACGAAAGCGTGAACAATAAAAGAAAACAAATCTGTCACATGAGTCACAGCAGAAAGATGCGCAAGATCTTTGTAAGGCAGGAGATTAATATAACTAGAATCCCATTGTCTTGAATTATATCAAACTATTTTCAAGGGATAATAATGCATTCATTCCATTTAGCGCTACCTTTCTTCTAAGGAGCTCAGAGTCTCGTACTTGGTTCTGTCCTTCCAGTTTATCCTCTCATCAACCCTTCAAGGTAAGCTGAATGTGTGTGGCTGGCTCAATGTTGTCCTGCAAGCTTCTTTACTTAGTGGGTATTTGAACCCTGGTATTTTGGGTCCTAAGGGACGCGGGTGGCGCTGTGGGTTAAACCACAGAGCCTAGGACTTGCTGATCAGAAGGTCGGCGGTTCAAATCCCCGCGACGGGGTGAGCTCCTGTTGCTCGGTCCCTGCTCCTGCCAACCCATCAGCTCGAAAGCACATCAGAGTGCAAGTAGACAAATAGGTACCACTCCGGCAGGAAGGTAAACGGCATTTCCGTGCACTGCTCTGGTTCGCCAGAAGCGGCTTAGTCATGCTGGCCACATGACCCAGAAGCTGTCTGCGGACAAACGCCGGCTCCCATGGCCTATACAGCGAGATGAGCGCCGCAACCCCAGAGTTGGTCACGACTGGACCTAATGGTCAGGGGTCCCTTTACCTTTACCTTTACCTATTTTGGGTCCTAGTCTGGCACTACTCCCATTTTTTTGCCATAAGTTTGTTCACCTCTCAGCATATTGTTGCCAAACTCATCCTGAGGTTTCCCAAGGTGGAGGCGGCAGTCTATGTCCATCTTTGCACACTGGGTGCCGTTTTGATTCAAGATGCTGGAGCGGAATATGACTGTCACATAACTTTGCCCATTTTTCAGCATAGGTTGGGCCACCTGTTAACATATTGCCACCAAACTCAGTACAAGGGTTCCTGAGATTGGGTGGCAGCCTTCACTGATTATTGGGTGCCGGGTGCCATTTTGAATCAAGATAGTGGACCAAAATGTGGCTTTTGTGTGACTTCACCTGGTTTTTGGTGTGACAGGTCCAAACTTACCAATTACTGTACACTATCCATTAAAAAAATGCATTTTTTTGGTTTCTAAAAATTCCCAGGTAGCACCACTCACTCTCCACTAGTAACATATGAAGCAGGGAACCTATATGTGTCAGATCACATAGCTGTCAACTTTTCCCTTTTCTTGTGAGGAATCCTATTCAGAATAAGGGAATTTCCCTTTAAAAAAAGGGAAACGTTGACAGCTATGCTTTGGGGTTTCGAACTCTGATCTTCCAGTATTGCAACTTGTGTAGGGATCAATGCAGGGTCCTGCAATTCTTTTGGGTATCCAAGTTGTCCCTTCGTGCAAGCTGAGACCCCAGGCAGACCAGCTGAGTGCTATCTCCCCAGACTGGAAGCAGCTCTGCAAGGTCTTAACCAGAGGTCTCACGCAGTCTTGCAACCTGCACTCCTCTTCATTGGAACGGCCAAGGATTGAACAGGAAGCATTCTGCATGGAAAGTATGCTCTATTGCTGAGTTATGGTCAGTAGTGGAGGTGTATTGGGGCAATGGTGTTCGTGTGACCTCCTGACACAGGTGAGTCATTGTTTTTACTGGGAAGGAGATGGAAACCCAATGGCAGGTAAGGCTGCATGGTGCAAACGCATTAGCAGGATTGCCTTCGCACTGCACCAACCTTCTGCCTCCCAGTCAGCAGCAGTGACTGAGTTGTCAGAAAGTCAGGTGAGCTCTACCACACTGGTATGGGCCTTTCATGGGGAGGAAATGCATTAGCAGGGCTGATTTGAAATTTCTCAGGAAATACTTTTCTGACACATTTTTGCCAGTTTTCTCCTTTTGAGTTTGCCCCGAACTGTTCGGAGAATTTCAAGCCTTCCTTTGCTAGTGGATATTTGGCAATACATCATCATCTACAATTTTTTGGGGGGAGGGGGTAGCAGCTGAAGATGCAATACTAAGAGAGTTTAGTTATTATTTTAATATTGCTGAAGGGAACAGTGGGCTTGCACCCCTCCTCCTAGTCTTCCTCTATGGTTTCGTTCATCCACCAATATGAACTGAGAGGAGGGTTTCAGTCACCCTTAAGTGGACTGACATTTCTCAGCAAACGATTCTCTGACAGTATTTTGATCTCTGAGCTTCTTCTGAACTCTTGAAAAATGTTATTCCTCATGTGGAGAACATTCAGCAAAATGCCCCCCCCCCCCGTTCTCATACACTGGCTCCCAGTACATTTCCGAGCACAATTCAAAGTTTAGGTGCTGATCTTTAAAGCCCTAAATGGCCTTGGCCCAGTATACCTGAAGGAGCATCTCCACGCCCATCGTTCAGCCCGGACACTGAGATCCAGCTTTGAGGGCCTTCTGGCGGTTCCCTCACTGCGAGAAGTGGGGTTACAGGGAACCAAACAGAGGGCCTTCTCGGTAGTGGCACCCACCCTGTGGAACACCCTCCCATCAGATGGTGGCTGGGAAAACCCAGCCAGATGAGCAGATTATAAATTATTTGTATTATTATTATTATTATTATTATTATTATTATTATTATTATTATTATACTCCACAAGTAACCTGGTGAATTTCTGGAGACCATTAGAAACATAGAGCATGTCAGACAGCTCTATCTAGCTCAAGATTGTCTATACAGATGGGCAGAAGCTCTCCAGGGTTTTAGGAAAGGGGTTCTCTCCTAGTCCTACCTAGCGATGATGGGGATTCAACCTGGGACCTTCTGCATGAAAAGTAGAAGCACCACTAACTGAGCCAATGCCGTCCTTCCCATTTCTTCTTATCAGCACTCTTCTATAGCTTGAAGTGCATTGGGTTTTCAGATACTAATTCCTCAAATAAATCCATTTCCACATAAATGACAACACTGAGATACTAGGCCCCATTGTCCCGCGTTCCTACTCCGTCTTCCTGCTTAGGCAGAAGCTACACAATTCCCCAAGCTAATAATGGATTGTAAAAGAACATCTGTGCGTCTTTTCTTCCCTTGTGCACTATTTGTTTAATTGTGGTGGATTAACAGCAAGGGGGATGGTACATCATAACTAGGCAATTACCCATTCTTCATCGCTTAGTTATGGTTGTGCTAATTGGTCGTTTAACACATAAGATAGGCTAACATTAGAAACGTTTGGGGCTGTTCAAAGAAGGAATCAACAAATTAATATTGTTGTGTGATATTTGCATAATTGGCTGCAATTATTTAATGTTTAATTGGGTTGATCAAATGTGATTCAGCCCTCTCACGTGTGTGCGTGATTTGTAAGTGGTGGGAATTTAAACAATGATGATCAATTCCAGTTTTGTTTGTGTGTGTCCTTTCTCCCTGCTCTGTTCTTTCTTCTTCTTCTTCTTCTTCTTCTTCTTCTTCTTCTTCTTCTTCTTCTTCTTCTTCATCTTCATCTTCTTCAGGTTTGGGTCCAACAAATTAGTACAAAATAGCATCAGGAAGACAGGAGTATCCCAGTGTGGTGCTTTCCAGATGTTGTGGACCACCAGTGCCGATCAGCTCTGACCATTGGCCATGTTGATGGGGGCCGACTGGAGTTGTAGTCCACAACATCTGGATGGCATCGTGTTGGCTATCCCTACCTTAAGATTATGCTGGAGGGCAGCAGCTGCACATAGCTGGTCCAGATATAATTTAGGACGTTGACTTGATATTGTCTGCCCTGAATCCTGCGGTCTCCAAGGTTTCAGGTGTGGTCTTGGCCAGCCCTACTCAGAGATGCCTGGGATCCAACCTGGGATCTTATACCTGTGATCTCCACCTAGCAGCTAAGCTGTAAACCATGGTTTTAATTCTACATTCAGAAGCCACAGGCTTAGGACGACCCCTGCTATCTCTTCTGGGTGGTTGTGATTAGAAGCATCTACTTCCACTTTAAAATAACCAGAGTTCCTTCTTTCATCCACATGGGGGAAATTCTGGTTCATCTTAAAAGCTGGATAGTGAACAAACCATGTTTTCTGATTGGCTTGCTTGAACTAACCATAGTTCCCTCAAGTTTGGACATAATGAGGAATTCTATTTAGTTTTAAAGTGGGAAAGGGTGTTTCTGTTGAGGGTTGCATGCTGGTGGTACACAGCTGCAGCCAGGGATGGGTGAAGGCCAGAGTTAGTGGTCAGAACCTAGAGTGATAAAGGACCCTCCAACTCTCTCCTTCTCTCTGTTACCTCCTTCCCTTGCCACCTGTGTCAATTTAGGGACATCAGAACTTGCCATTGATCCATCTGGGTCAATGTTGTCTACACTGATGGGAAGTAGCCATCCAGGATTTCAGACAATGGTCTCTCCCAGCCCTACCTGTAGATGCCAGGGATTGAACCTACCTGAAGATGCCAGGAATTGATGCTCTACCACTGAGATACAGCCCTTTCCTTCAGGCCACAGGTTGTCCACCTTCATCTAGAGTGATTTGGGTACCACACAGCCCTTATTTCCAGCTGAATCAGAGATGAAAGAATGGACTACCAATGCCACAAATCCCCAAAGTTTTTGAGAAGTGTTCATTCCGTTTCTTCCGCTTGCCAGTGCAGCACAGACATTCTTGGCATCCTGAAGAAGAAAAGCCGTCAGAGGAACACAGCACTTTCGAAAGGTCCCTGCTTTATAATGTTTAAGTTAACGGAGTGTTTTTACAAAGAAACGAAACCTATAAGAACCATAAAGAAGCAGATGGTTGAGAGAAATGGTTGAGTAAAGGAAAGGAAACTCTACCTCATTCTTCTTTTTAAAAGTTTTGGAGAAGTACAATTAAATATTCCTAACAGGGTCGTTGCGCACAAACCATCTGGCACAGAGAGAAACCCTTTTATATTTGTACGTCTAAAAAAGCTGTAATAATTGTGTTTCGCTGGCAACAGAAACACACAGTGCTGCTTGCACTTTCCAAATAATATCTGTAATTATGCAGCGTTG